ACCAGTTTAGTAATTTGGTCAAAAAAAGAAATGAGTTTATTCTGGCAGAACCCATTTTTATTGAAGCCAAATACTGCTTCCATTTCTTTAATGATGTGTTTTATAATTTCCCCAGGAATTGAAATCAAGCTCACTGGCCTTTGGTTAGTAGACTCTGTTCTTCCCCCACTTTTGAGTTTTGGAATAACATTTGTCCTTCTTCAGTTTTTTGGTGTATCTCTCCTGTTTTCCATAATCTTTCAGATAATGATAATGGCTCAGCAATCACATCTGCCAGTCCTTTCAGGATCTGAGGGTATAGTTCAACTGGGCCAGTTAACTTGAATTCATTAAGGGCAAATAGATGTTTTCTCCTTGTGTTCTTATTTATCTTGGATATCAGCTTCCTGTTAGTCATATTTCAGTGTAAAGGTTGACTGAACCCAAACTTCACAAAACAAATCCCCTTAATAAAAGGATTTGTTCTGTAAAACGTGGACTTGGTCAAAAGGCCACTCTTGAGGACCTAGAAGGCCACATGTGGCCTTGAGACTACAGGTTCCCCACCCCTGGAATTGTTGATATCCTAACTGTGTGACCCTAGACAAGTCACTTAACCTCTCTTTGCCTCAGTTTCCTGCACTGCAAAATGGAAATAACAACAGTACCAGCCTTGCAAAGTTATTATGAAGATCAAATTAGATAATATTTGAAAAGTGTTTAGCACAGTGTCTGGCTGTACGAATACTTATTTCTTTCCTTTCCCTTCTCCTTTCCTTCTAGTAGCAAAACAATTCAGTGAGATTCTAGAAAGTAGTCTCTTCCAAGAGGCTATCAGACTCAACTTCATCTATTACATACATGTAAAGGGGTGCCCCAAATTCCTCAGAGTTGCTCCTGCACATGAAAAGCTCAGGAATAGTTTTAGACAGATACCAGAGATAAAGACCTTGGCCCTTACTTACTTACTAAGGAAGCAAACCCTTGCTTAGCTTTCTTCTGTGTCTATTTTCTCCATCCACTGTTGGGATGGGAGCATAGAAGAGAATTAGGATTTGAAAACTGAGAGAACTCAAATTCCAGAGCTTTTTGGTAATTATTAGACAAAACAATTATTACTTGGCTTATAACAGCCTAACCTTCAAAAATTGAAAAATGTTGAGTGCATGGAATACCTTCTATGAACTGTGAGTTCTCTGACCAAGGGATTTAATCCCTTCACCAGGAAAAAGAGTCCAAAGAAAAGATTTAGGTCTACTATCATTAGGTAACCTGGAAATTTTTTGACTTAAAAAGAGTGGCACCCAAGGTTTAGGATTATCTCCTAGGAAGATGTTAGGCTCCCTAAGACTCTGAGAGAACAAGATTGAAGAAGCTTTTTGCTAGTTCTAGGGCAAGGATTCTTCTAGCTTTTCTAAGAGATGGGGACTAGGGGCAGCTAGGTGGCATAGTGGATAGAGCACCGGCCCTGGCGTTAGGAAGACCTGAGTTCAAAACTGGCCTCAGACACATGATACTCGATAGCTGCGTGACTCTGGGCAAGTCACTTAACCCCAATTTCCTCCCAAAAAAATAAAAAGAGATGGGGACTGGAACTGTGATTTCAGAGGTTTGGGAACTCCTCTGTATGAGGTATTCAGCTCTTATGGTGTGAGGACTTGCTGAACCCTTTTCAGGGCTGCTTATCCATCTTGAGTGTCCACCTGGCCCTCAACTCTCACCTGTGGTTCCAAGAAGCTGTAGCATGAGGTAGTGGCCACACACTGGTAAAATTGTCTCAGCAGACTGGTTAACTAGGTTGAGGGTCACTGACAGGCCTGAAACCCATTGGTGAGTTAGCCAACTCCAAGCAAGTGATTTCCTCCTGGGTGAATGAGAACAATTTGTTCCAGTGGCCATGAAGGCAGCTGAAGCAGGCACCGTGGAATGCTTGGAGCTTGGTCAGACATCAAAGATGCTAAGGTCATCCACTGCATCCCAGGTTGGAACTTTTGTCCCACCTCCGGACTCTGATGACTCTGGAAGAGAGAGTGAGGCTGATGACTTTGCACAACTCTGCCTCACTTAAATCTAATTCATGTGCAAGTCAAGACATCACCCCACGATGCCATTGATCCTCTTTGAAAAAGGAGGATGAACAAGCACATAGGGAGCTCCTAGGTGAGGAAACTACCTTCACTAATTCAAGTCAACATCCCAAGTGATTGTCTCAGCTGGTGAGTGTCAGGGGGGACTCGAATCCAGAACTTCTTGGCTCCAGAGCCAGTTCTCTGTCCATTATGCCATGACTTCCTTTTCTAAAAGTGCTGGGGGAAAACTTCTGTTTAGGCTAAGAAAACATGGCAGCATGTACCTATCCTTAAGAAAGAGATAGCCAAGAATATAAGCTGAGTCAGAAACTGGAGGCATTAGAGGCCACCCTGCATCAGCAGCCAGCAGTGGAGATAGACTATCATTCCATCAAAGTAGTACCCAGTAGCAAAGGCTCTGAGCCTAGTGCAGCAGGTTGACATTGAGTCCATTGGAAATTGCAGAGGAGGCTGTGGGTCCAGCGGAGTAATGTCTAGCAGAGAAGACAGGTATCAACAATCCTGCAGTATTGGAATTGTGAGCTGATCCTTCACATGGGGGCTGGCCTACCACATGCGTGCCTTGGCTATACATATTCCCTACACGTGCATCCTTCCACGCGCATACTCGGACACATGTGCTCCCTATGTCTTTGCCTTTCTAGGTTTGTTTTTTAGACGCGTCCACTCTTCTCACTGATGCGAAAATTTTTCGGAAAATGCACCCAGGTTTACTGGGGGAAATATTTTGTTGCTACTTTTCTTAGTATGCCATTTCATTAAATGCCTTTGCTTTGAATTAGTTGTATCTTCTTGCTAACTATTAAACAAACACAGTGGGGGTTCATGAACAATATTTTTAAGGGATAAAGATGCACAGAGCACTTTGAACCTTGGGTAATTCTGTCCTAGGGAATGCTAGGAGAATGTAGACACTACATACAGATTCCCCTAATAACCAGCCTTAGACCCATACTAGCTTTTTTCCACCTGGGGCAAAAACAAATACAGGTTTGGAAGGAGGCGAGAAGTGAAGAGGATATAGTTCTGCCAGGAGACTAAATAATTTAGCCCTCAACCACACAGGGGTTTGTGGCCTGGGAAAGGATGATAGGATCCTAAGGGTGTCTGATGGACACCCAAAAGGATGCTGAAGAGGGGTGACAGCTATGCTGTACAGAGGTAACAGTAACCTGATTGTAGCAGCTGCCCTTTTATAGTGAAATAGAGGACAATGATATTGAAGTAGAATAGTACAATGAAATGAGTGCTAGATTTGGAGTCACAAGACCTGGGTTCAAATCCCAGCTTTGCCATTTATTTCCTCTGTGACCTTAGGAAATCGTTTCTCTTGATAGCTCATTTTCCTCATCTGTAAAATGAGGATAGATAACTAGATAACCTCCGAAGTCCCTTTCAGTTGTCAAAGTACAGGATGATGTTTACCATGGGAAGAAAGTAAAGCCTCCAAGGGATGAAGCACATCCCATAAAAAGAGTGCTTTTCCAGCCCTGTACTCCCCACATCAGGATCCTTGGGGCAAGATCTTGGTTCATCCTGCATTAATCGCAGCTCTGGTCAGCAATAACTAGCTCCCTTTAGCTTTTTTTTTCCCATTTCTTTTTTGGCTAGGCAATTGGGGTTAAGTGATTTGCCCAGGGTCACACAGCTAGTAAGTGTCAAGTGTCTGAGGCAGGATTTGAGCTCAGGTCCTCCTGACTCCAAGGCCAGAGCTCTATCCACTGTGCCACCTAACTGCCCCCTAACTAGCTCCCTTTAGAAAGAGTGCAAATTCGATCCATTAATTTGAATCCCTTCCCATCAGCTTGAGTTACTTCCCCTTGTCCCGTTAGTCCTTGATATCTGACCAGCTTAGGGTCATTTCAGAGACAATCCAACATCTCGCCTTACCCTTCTCCATTTCTTGTTCCATACTAGATTGCCACACAAAGTTCACAAGTAGGTGGAGTATCTCCTTGGAGTACCCATGCATGATTAATCTGTGTAATCATTTTTATATGGTCCAACTATAGGAATATAGCAGTTACCCCTCATGGGAACCAACCCTTGATTTCTTGGAAGCCCCAAAGGCTTTTTGCTCTCATCTTATTTCTTATAGCCCATGGCAAAAGCCCATTGTCGTTCTAGAGTGGTTGCTTCAATGACCTCATTGGTAGGTTTAGAGGAACCAAGATATGTTATATCCTTCCTGGTTTGGGCAAGGAGTCTATCATATTCAATACCTGGCATCTGTACCCTATGGTGTGATAGACTTTAACCTATATCATCTTTCATCCAGGTTGCATTTTGGCCGTCTTTATGAATGAGTTCCAATATAAGGAAAGGACCAATGTATATCTCATTAATGCAGACTATTGTTAGTTCCTAGAAGTATTTATGTTCTCATTCTGAGACAACTGGTAGAGTGGTAGACTGGTAGAGATTTACTAGTATTTGCATGGTGGAAAGCAAATTGATTAACCTGGCCTTCTGCATAGACTTTCAGGACTCATAGTAACTGGTCTGAACCCCAGACCCCATAATCTGGGTACCTTCCATTCACTTGGTTGCCAGCCCATCACAGAAGCATAAGAGGGAAGTCCAGGTTAAAGCTCTGTGGGAGATGACATTGATAATCTTGGACCACCGCGACTATCTGATCATAGGATCATGGATGGTAAAAGGGAGGTAAATTGTCCTTTTTATTAATAACTCAAGTATCCATTGCCTGGTGCTTTGAAGTCTCAAAACAATACACACAATTGTCTGCCGGCAAATTCACGAAGAGGTGAAAAGGAAGAGGAAGAACACATTCTCTTTCTTTTAGCCCCCTCCCCCTGGTTTCCTTTGCATTAGCCCTGAATCCTGGGGATTATTTGTTCCAGCACTTATTTTTTCACTGAGAATATTTTTAATTCATTCTCTTTCTTGACCCCTCCCAACTTCTTGCAGGACAAAAATGAATGCTAAAAAGCTAGGAAAACGAAGTGCAATGACTTTTCCCATTCTGAAATCAAGAAAGAAACATAACTTCAACTCTATAAGGGTAAGAAGGGGGAGAGGGGAATGTGTGGACCAAACAGTGATCACTTGGTCATAAACCCATAAGTTTTAATGAAGTAACGGATGAAAAGGACCAGGACTGGAGCAGGGGTTTACCATGGTGGGTCTTGTTTGATTATTCCTTTTGGCCCTGATGTGGTGAAGCTCACCATTGGAGTTGAGACAGGGATTGGTCAGAAGTGAGGGGTTTGACTTCTTGATTTGGGACTTTTCAGAGCTCCCAAACCTCCTCACCCTTCCCCATGAGCCTGAGTTTCTGAAATTTTTGAGCTAGTGTCTTTAACTTTACCTTTTACTTTGTTCTATGTATCTGCAACAACACCAGAAGTTTCCTGGAGTAATTTTGTCTGGTATGCATTCAAGAACAATTCCAAAACAGGTAGGTTACTTATGTCTGATGTTGACATAACTCTTAGATTCTCTCTTTTTGTACTGTTTGCTTTAAAAGCCAGAAGAAGAAGAACTTGACTTACAGCAGTTATGATAACATTGTGATGTGTTTTAGTCAGTGTGGTTTTGTTGAAAAAAAAAAAAAAGCACTGTATTTAGCCTCAGGGCATTTGGGTCCAAATTCCAGATTGATTCTTTACAATCTGTATGGACTTGGACAATGGCCTTCATCTTTCTGGTCTTCTCATCCATGAAATGGAGGGGGTTGGTCTAGCTCACCTCTAAGGATTTTTCCAGCTCAAGATTCCATAACATTTTACTCAGTTTTTTAGCATTATAATGTATTTGGAAGAAGGCATCATGGCATCTTGTTCTGGGCAATTTCTGTAATGAGTTTTTGATTAAAAGCATTAAACTCTGACTTCTTGGTCTAGGCCTCTGCTCACAGCACAGACCCAACTCTAAGGCTTGGCCAGTGGAAGGAAGCCAATGACATAGCTGATTGCATAATGCAATGGAAAAATGCCTCCTACTTAATTACATAAAAAAGAGGACTAGGAGTCAGAAGACATGGGCTGTATTACATAGTGCCTAGCACAATCCCTGGCCAAAGTCTGTTTACAGCTGGCCCTGTGTGAGGAGCTTTAAGAGACGCATAATTATTTCTCACACCTCAGGGACACATCTGTGGTCTAGCAAAACCTAATTATCCATCCTACCTGTTGTGTTTCATGAAAAATCCTTAATGACTTCCATTCTCCTTTAACTCACTCTCACTCCCCTACTATGCTAATGTATCCCGTGGTTGTGAGGCTTCGGTTCTTACCAGTCTTCTCATAGTCCCCAAAGTGGAGATGTGATTTCATATCCAGGAAGTACCTTCCCAGGCTGCAGCCTCCAGGTGAGGCTGCTGCCTCTGGGGCTGAGGGAGGGCAGTGGGCCAAGACAGGGGACCACTTCCTTGAGGATACATTAGAATCATCTCACACACATACCTTTCTTCCGTATAGTGATCATGAGCAACTGAAGGACCCCAGAGTCATACATTTAGCATTTGCCCTAAGGAATGAGGTCCCCCCCCCCATTTTGAATAAGGAAGATCACACTCTGCTTCCTACTCCTTCTGGGTGCTACTGTGAAGTTGACTATAATTGTACTTTCAAAAGGGCCATGAATGGGCCTCAAGGAAATTTCTTGGTACATTTGAATAATTAACTTATTAGGTTAGAGGCACTGACATAGTAACTATGTCCTACTGAGCTAAGACCTATTATTGCTAGGGGCCTAAGACAAAATTGGATGGGGTGAGGCAAAGTGGCAAGTCACTATGTTAGATGTTAGAGGATATATAGAATTGTATAAAATGTGATTTCTGCATCAAGGAATTTCCTATCTGGATGGGGATATAGGTGCCAAAAAAAATCTTACAAATTGAAATAAAGAGTAAGTGCTAGATAGAACTTCAGAGCATGCAGAGAACACTCTTAGGATTATTGGGGGAAAGCTTCATAGAAATATGGGATTAAAGTTGTGCTTTGCAGGGTGGGCAGGATTGGTTTTTTTTGGGGGTGAGGCAATTGGGGTTAAGTGACTTGCCCAGGGTCACAACAGCTAGGAAGTGTCTGAGGCTGGATTTGAACTCAGATTCTCCCAACTCCAGGATTGGTCCTTTATCCATTTTGCCACCTAACTGCCCCACCAGATGGCCAAGATTTTAGTGGGTGGAATGTGTGTGGGATTAAGGAAGGGTAATAAGTAACACTCAGGATATGAATACAGGTCATTTGGCATAACATCAATGCTCTATCAATGCTCCAGTAGCTTTCCAAGGCAGTTAGACCCAAATTAGAAAGTAAGGTTTGAGCCAAATTGTGGAAATTTGAATATTTCCACAATTGAATAGCAGATAAAGGAGTTTAGATCATGTGGGCAATGAGCCATCAAAGGTTTTTGATTCTTCGTCCCAAGGGATGAAACAACACTAATTACTCTTTTAATTCTGTTTTGTAGTCATCCCGAATGGACAGTAAGGCTCAAAACCAACAACCGACTTCCAAGCACAAGAACCTGAGGCTGAACCGATATTTGCGTAAGGTAGAGAGTTCTGGTGCTTGGTTCCTTCTTTCTCCAGCACAGAGTAGGATAAGGGTGCCTTTTCCAGGTATCTGGGAACAACACACTGGAAATTCTCTAGCTCCTCTAGATATTACCACCTCTCTTTTGACCTCTTCCCACAAGACTTCTTAAATTAACATTGATTTTAATATATTTTTATTTATTTCCCCGATTTTTCCCAATTACATATATACAATTTTTAACATTCATTTTTTTAAAATTGTGAGTTCCAAATTCTCTCCCTTCCACTTCTCTACTCTCTGAGAAGGCAAGCAATATGTTTATTATACATGTGATGTCATGCAAAACGTATTTCCATATTAGCCATGTTGCAAAAGAAAACACACACAAGCAAGAAAACTAAAGAAAGTAAAAAAAGTGTACTTCAGTCTGTGCTTAGAATTCATCGGTTCTCTCTCTGGATAGCACTTTTTGTCCTAGATCCTTTGGAGTTATATCTTAGATCATTGTCTTGATCAGAGTAGCAAAGTCTTTCACAGTTGATCATCCTTACAACTAAAACTGATTTTAGACTTAAGTAGTATTAATTGACCAATTGATAAATTGATTCAATTGGATAAATCTAAACCAAGTGTGTAGAGGAAATGGGGGTCTTCTGTTACAAACAGAGGGATTTTAATTAAGTATTGGGAAGGACTTCCCTCTTTTTGGATCATGAAATACTAGAAGGTAATCGCTGAGGGAAGCTAAGAATGCCCTTCCTCTGGAGAGTTTTAGGAGTGGGCTTTGGGCTGGATCAGTCATAGCTTTGGGGTGGATAGAGTGTTGGAGATGACTTCTTGGTTAAGGTTCAAGGGATTTCTCTTTTTATAGAAAGCAAACACCAACGTTACCTCACTTCCTCATCTGGACAATCATGGGAGGAAAAATGTGTCCAATGTGGCAAAGATCCCTCCTCAGAACAATAACCTCCCACTCATCAACAGCAAAAGGGTATCGAAGGTATTGTCAATGTCACAGGCTGATGGGTCTCAAGCAACTTTAGGATGGAAGAATCCTTGGTTAGCACAAGTGGGATCTGGTTGGGACAGTCACTTAGTTTTTCTAGGCCTCAGTATCCCTTCTGTGCTTGTATTTCCTTAGAATCCAAATTATAGTGATATATAATTGAAGCCTCACAGAAATGATGTGATGGCCAGAGAGAGAGACTATCTTTAAAAAACACTTTGCTTTTGAAAAGAAAGGCATTAAATACATCCAAAGGTTAGACATGTAATTCTCTTCCCAGGAAGCATAGGCTCTAATCTAGTCTAGTCCAACCCAATAAGCATTTGACGAGCACCTACTATGTGTAAGAGTCTGTGTTAGGTGCTAGGGATACAAAGACAAAACAAAACAAAAGTCTTTGCCTTGAAGCACCTCGCTTACTGTTAGGGGGTTGCGAATAACTTGAGGAAGAAGGAGAAGTCACTAATTATTAGGGAGATTAGGAAAGACTTCACATAGGAAATGACAGTGAGCTGAACTGAAGGAAAGGAGGGATTACCAAAGGTGGAGGTGAAGGAGGAGTGTATTGAGGCATTGGGGAAGGCTATGCAAAAGTTTGGAAGTAGAAGATAGATTGCTGAGTTGGGGGATAAGCTATCAGGCTGCTTTGGCTGGAAAGTGGAGTTCATGAAGCAGAGTAGTGTGCCATCACCCTGGAAAGGAAATCTGGACTTAAACTATGAAGTGCTTTAAATGCCAAGCTGAGGAGTTTATTTTTACAGCTCAGGAAACTGAGGCAAATGGAGTTATGTGACTTGTGGAGGGTCACACAGCTGGTAAGTGGCTGAGGCCAGATTTGAACTCAAGAAGATGAGTCTTTCTGACTCCAGGCCTGGTGCTCTGTGTGCTATGGTGCCACTTCGCTGCCCATGAAAGGTAATAGGGAGCCACTAAAGGTTTCTAAGCAGGGGAGTGGTGATGTGTTTTAGGAAGTGTTTTAGACTTGTGTTTTAGGAAGATTATTTTGGCAGTTTTGTGGTTGGTGGGTTGAAGAGGGAGAATCCTGAAATCAGGCATCTAATTAAAAGTCTGTTGTAATAGTTCAGTCAAAAGTTCTCATCCTTATCAGTGTATTCATTAAATATTTATTTATGGGGTCATAACCTCTAGGACTTGATGTGGATAAATTACTGATAAACATATGACCAAATGACTATAGTACATCAATATATAAGAAGACAATGAATCCTGAACAACAAATCCATGTCAGGGGAAAGAGTGCTTTGTTATGGAGAGTAAGTTATGGAAGTCTAGGATGGTACAGTCACTATGGGAATAGGTGTCACTGGACTGGGAGTTAGGGGGCCTGGGTTTTGGCCTAGCTTTGCCAAAAATAAGCTGTTTGAGCTTGGAAGAAATTACTTCCTCTCATTGGGTCTTCATTTCCTCATCTATAAAATGAGAAGATTGGGATTGATGATCTGTGAGATGCTTTCCAGCCTTAAAGCTCCATGATTCATCGTAAACCTAGAAATATGTTGGTGAGGCTTGCTGCTAATAGATTTGCATGGCAAAGACAGGGGTATGGAATAGGAGAGTGGGGAAGAATTATTTTTCTTCTTTACCTTAGCTTTCCTTCTGGGAGTGTCTATCCCTTAGCTATATAATTTTCTTTCCAGGCCTAGGTTCTCCACCCAGACAAGGGCCTAAAGGAATAGATTTCTGCTTAGGCTTGGAAGAATTTGTCTAGCTTTTGTTAGCTGGGTAAGGCATCAGTGAGCTGTGGGCTTTTCCTAGAGGTGAGTTGAGCAGTGTCTCTGAAGAATTAGGTCCAGAAGCTGGTTGTAGGAAACAATACTCTCTTCCAAGAGACCAGTGGAACTATTTTTTTTGTTTCTATTGGTCTGTTTATTAGGCTGAGACTATTTGTCCAGCAGTGTTTAGAGGGACTAAAGTAGCCATGTGTCCGGCAAGGATGCCACACCTGGGGAGAACAGACCTATAATAACATCACCAGAAAATGTGAATGGTCTTACAGCTTTGAAGACATGAAATACCCTCTGTATTTGACTATACTTGTTCTTTGTGTGTCTGTAACACAGGAGCCAGTGCAGTTTTTGAACTCTGGTCTCTAACAGGTTCACTCTTGATCTGGGCAGCCAGAAGGACAGGAAGATAGCTTTGGAGGGGTTATATAATAATTTATTCTTCTTAATGGATTCCTGATAATGGGGAACACCAACTCCTATAGGATCCCCTAATCACCCTTTTTGTGGGGGCAGGAGAGAATATAGGAGCATAACTCCTAGAGATTCCCCTAAGCCTTGATGGGGCAGTGCCCTATGCAGAACCTACTCATCCCACTGATGGTATGGGTATTAATGGGAGAATGTGCCCTAGATTCATCAGGGAATGTTTTTATTGGGCCTTTCCCCCCCAATACATAATACTGTTAAATGCCTTTGTTTTGAACTTTTTGTGTACTCTAACTAAAGAAAAAGTAAACACATTGTTGAGGGCTACTGATGGCTTTAAATAGTCAAATACACAAAATACCTTAAGTGCATGCCCTGGTGCTATCAGTAGATACATTTTTTTAGGTAGTATATTTTCCTTAATGATATTTTGATTATTGCAGAATTTGGAGCTGGAAGGGAAACCATCCTTAGACATTTAGAAACCATCTAGTTCAATCTTAAAGATTTTTTTTTTCATGTAAAGAAAGCAAGGCCTGAAAAACATAAGTGATTTGCCTAAGGTCACATGGATAGTTAAGTAGCAGGTGGTAGGCTCAAATATGTTTTCTGTCCTTCAGTTTGGCATTTTTTCACTCCATCATATTGCCTTTCATATAATATTTAGCTGGCTTTCCCCTGAGAGGGAGGAGGAGAGCTGATCTATATTCATTCTACTTGTTGACAAGCTAAAATTTCCCTGGGGTTAAAATTTTACTCCAAGTCATCCACAATAATATTAATAAAAGTTAAATGTATTTTTCTCCTTTATCAATCATTTTTGTTAAAAGGCAGTGAACAGTAAAATTAGTCCAAGGCCAGAAAAGAGAAAGGAAAGGATTCTAGGTAACATGAATGTTGGTTGAATATAAGGAGGGGAGTCTGTCTAGACGTGGGCCCTGAGGGGAAGACTGGGTGATCCTTTAAAGCAGCTCTTGTCTCTCTGACCAGAATAACCAATGCTATAGCCAGATGCCACCCTCTGAGCTCAAGACTTCATCCAGCCTCAGCATCCAAAGTCAAACCTTCAAGTCCGAGGACGGCATGACACCCCACAAGTTGCCTCTGACAGCATCAGGTAGAGCCTCTCAGGAGGTTTTGTGTGTGTGTGTGTGTGTGTGTGTGTGTGTGTGTGTGTGTGTGTGGTGTGGGGGTGGGAAGGAAAGGAAGGGTAAAGTTTTAAGAAGCATTATATTTGGGATGGCCAACAAGGAATCCATCAGTGGTTAAGCCTTGAGTGGGACTTGGTCAACTGTCACCATGTCAAGCTGTGTTTCTAGGAGTCATTTCTACTACCTGACACTTCCCTCCCTCTTAATGTCAGTTTATCACTTGTAGGCACCAATACTCAGTGTCACAAGTGGCTCCAGTATTTTGTGGGGCATTCTCTTTTTCCAGTAGGGATCTCTTTGTTTTTTAGGTACCCTTTGAAGGTATATATGTTACAATGGGGAGAAAAAACATCACTGGATTTGTAGTCATATGACTTGTCTCCTCTACTTATCAGCTGTGTTATTGTGGGCAATCTGCTTACCTTCTCTGATCCTCAGTTTTCTCTCTGTACTGTCTGATTTATAGGGTTATGAAGAAAATGTAAATTGCTATATAAATATGTGGTATTGCTATTTATAATATGTGTGGTTAGGACCTGAAAATTTGAACTCAGGTCACTGTTTATAGATTGCTGGACAAATACCTGGTTTGTCTTCCCAGCTGGTATACCTTGCATGAAGGTAGTCTTGTTTCCATGAATTTCTTGAACCACAGAATCACAAGTTTATTCTTTATTCCTAGTTTTATAGGGTGGTTGTAAGGATGAAATGAGATAAAGAACATGGAGCTCTTTATTACCATAAGACATTGTGTAAATGTAAGCTATTATTACATGAGAGAGGAAGACCTGGATTCACGTCCTGATATACAACACTATACATACATAGCTACATATACTAGCAATATATGTGACTCTCATGTAGGTGGCACAATGGTTAGAGTGTTGGACTTGGGCTTAGGATGACCAGACTTCAAAAAATCTTCTCTCAGACATTGACTACCTATGTGTCCATGGGCACTTAAGTCACTTATGGTTTGTTTTTTTTTAGGCCTCAGTTTCCTCATCTGTAAAATGAGGATAATAATTACACCTACTGCATAAAGTACTTTGGATACTTTAAAGCATCATATAAATGCTAATTATTATAATCTTAATTATTTAACCCCCAGGTAATGTCTCTAAGACTATATATTGATGAATGTGTTCTGATCTGCGTTGGTAGAGGGAATTTCCTCTTCCGTAATTCCCAATACTAATGAAATCGCAAGTCCCTTCTCTACTGCCCATCTTATCAGATGGTTGTAAGGGTCAAAAAGATAAATAACAAACAACTCTTTATTATAATAAGACATTGTATAAATTTAAGCTATTATTACATGTAATTACAAGTCAGAGAGAGATGGGTTCAAATCCTGCTGACATATACTACTTTTATGACCCCCAGACAAGTCATTTTAACATCTAATTACTCTCTGGTAATTTTCTAAAACTAACTTGCTGAGCATCTTCTGATCTGCACTGCTAGAGAGAATTTTTTCTCCCTCAGGACTTCCCTATACTGATGAAATCACAAATCTAGTCCAAAATTAAAAAAAACAAAATTATATGTGAGCGTGAATGACTCTCAGTTCCAAGTAAGTAAATGAAACTATACTTCTAAGACCTAGTCTAGTAAATCTGGACAGTTACTTTCTCCACTTTGCATCATGCTTACTAGGTCCCAGCTTTCCATTTCAGGTAGGGAATGTAAAGTAGTACCTTAAAGTAATATGTAAGTGCTAGCTATCATTATTATTATTATTAATTATTTTTATTGTTAAATGGCAGATTTTTAAAATCAAGTTCACTGACTCCAAATCTAACACTTTCCATTAAAATATGCTGCCTCATTTACTATTATATTTGTTATTAAGTGACCTAGCTCGTAAGTGATCTTCTGACTACCTGGTTCTATGACTCTGCGATGTTGGTATATAGGATGAAATGGAAAGAGTATAATGGAAGAAATAAAACAGTAAGGAGATTGTTACCACATAGGTATGAATAAAATGGTAGAAGATCATGATTCATATGAACAAAATTCTTAAGCTGAATATGAGATGATATTGAGAGCTACATATGAGATGATAATGAGGCAGGAAGAATTTTCAAAAGCAGGATTTGCCTTGGGGGTTTTGTGATATATTTGGAGCATATTAAGAATTTATTCTACTTTAACCAGGACTCACTTGATGGTTACTTTGGTGGGAACATTCCTTGGAGTCAACCACAAAGTTAATTCTTGTCCTTGTTTCTTACATAGAAGCCCTAAAATATTTTAAGAACCAACTGTCTGTGTATGAGCGAAATGAAGTTCTGGGTTATACAGAGCTCTGGTTTCTAGGGCTTGAGGCCCAGAAGTTAGAGGTGCTTCCTGAAAAACACAGCAAGACAAGCTTTGATGATGAACACGGCTCCTATATAAAGGTGAATATGTAAATTATTATGCTGAATGCATTTTATTTCTTGTAGCTGAGTATTTGGGGTAACAGCACTGAAGTTCTTCCAGAAATATGGGTCAAATTCTTGTGAAACACAGTAAATCCATTCAAAAAAATCAACACAATTCAACCAATATTTATCTGTGGTGTGTGGTATGCAGACCATTGCGCTAGGTACTGAGGGAGATAAAAGATTTAGCAAAGACATATTCCTTGCTCTTTTAGAGTTTTGAGTCTGGTAGCAGGATAAGACACAAATTACTATAATTCAAAGATCTATCTTTTTTGATGGTTTGGCTACTCTGTCCACTGACATGGACGTGGCTTGGCAGCTGGTCTTTGAGAATTGCTGTGGCTATAAAATTTATCACCTTGGAAACAACCTGATGACAAGGCTCTAGGAACTTAACCAAAGTTGGTCCTCAGATGACAGACATTCAACTTGGCAATAGGCCAATACTAGAAGCCTTTCTGTAATCTGTCAGTGGTACTGAGAACCTAGTATGTCCTTTGAAACCCTAAAGTTACTTCTAAGATCTGATGAGGCACTCAGAACATTTAATGGATTAAAATACACACGAATAAGTACACAAGAGAAGCATGAAAGGAAATATTATGTTATAGCTTTAGGGATCCACAATCCCGATCCAAGCTTTGCCAAGATTTCTAAATGCCCCGGACAAAACACCTTCCCTCTCGACCAGGAGTTCTTAAAAATTTTGAATGTACTATGAGCCCCTTTGGTATTTTGGTGAAACCTATAGACTCTTTCTCAAAAATGTTTTTAAGTGCATAAAGTAAAATATAAAAATATGCCAGATTACAAAAGAAACTAATTATATTGTAATATAATTATAAATATACAGAGTGTCCCAAAAGTCTTTGTGCATTTAAGCTTTTAAAGCTCTCTCAAGACTTTTAAGACACCCTGAATGTTGATACATTGATGCTTGTTTATATATAATATTGTTAATTAAATTTAAATATACATATCCATTATATGATATAATATAATCATATATTATGTCATAGTATGTGTTATATACATTATATGACATATACAATATATAAATATTATTTATTACATTTTAAGCTTGTTTATATAGACACACGAATATAAATAGATATACCCACATATAAACATATATCTATGCAAGTACATAGATAGATAAGAAACAATTTATGGACTCCAGGTTAAGAATCACTGCTTTATCATTCGTGTCTCATCCAGGCCTATGTTTTCTTGCTTAAGCAACCAGACTAATGATGGTTATGCCTTCTTCACTGGGGACATGTCCTTAGTTCCAAGAGGAACTATGGATCCAAGATCAGTATTTCATTGTGGATTAGCTGGGGTGCCATGCTGATATTTTCTTTGGTAACTGACCCTTTTTCAGATCTTTACTTTTGAGGAGATAGCAACAGCTCCCTAAGGTACTCATAATTGCATATCTCTGTGTATATCCCCATGTCAAGACATGTATAATATGTACTCAAATGCATCAAATGTATATCTTCTTACACATATACATCTCTACACTACACATCTTCCAACACATGGGAACATAAATAATTAGATAGTTCCTTCATTCATACAAGCCTACATGCATACAATATTACATGTATACTCCTAGACATATTTCCTTAAATGTACAAGGACCTATAACACTCGTATGCAAGCATTCCACAAACCTTTTAAACACAATCACATTCATAGGAGAAGGGATCATGGAATCATAAAATATTAGAGCTGGGAGAGGCCTTAGGAATCCTCTGATCCTCATTTTTACAGACGAAGAAACAAGCCCAGAGTAGGTTAAGTCAAGTGACTTACTTTACTGAATACAGATCTGATGATTTTATATTCCACACCCCACAGTGGTTTTGACCAAACACTGGCCACTGGTTGAGTTTATACCAAATAAAATGTTTGTCTCTGTATCTTGGAAGATCCCTCTGACCTGATGTATGACAGTGGTCCATGTCTCTTTGTCCAATTCCATTTTCAGATCAAATCTGATCAAGGCAGAGATGAGGAGGGAGATTCTTGAGGTAAAGATGAGGCAAAACATAAGCATGTCTAATTGGTGGAGAAGCATTAGAAAGAGTCAAGACTTCTCCCATGCCAGTAGCTATTATTTCTACCCCTACCTCCTCATTGCTCCTCCAGTTTTTTCCACAGTAGACTACCTGGTCCTCTTGACAACATTGTAGCATAGAATTCTGGTTCTAGAAGGGATATCCTCTAATCTAGCCATTCATTTTACAGGTAAAGAAAATCAGACCCAGAGAAATAAAATGATTCACACAGGCTGTTGTTAGTGGCAGAACCAGGACTAGAGCACAAACCTCTGATAGTCAGAACAGCAGGATTTTTCCTGGCCTCTGCATACTCAGAACTTGATAATTCCATGTTAGGATAGAAAATTTACCTTGTAGCCTGTGGGAGAATCCATACCTTTTAGGCTTTTATAAAGAGATAGCAGTAGTAATCAACACCAAGAAACTGTTCAGGAGCCTAGATATCACCTTGTGTCCTTTGTGGAGTAGTCCCACTTTTTCTGCCACTAGTGAAGTCGAGGTAACAAGGCTGCTTAGCTTTGCTCATTAACCTAAGAAGCAGGATGATCTCTTTGGGTGCCTCTCTGGTCCTGGAGAAGAATAATATGATAGGTGCTCACAGCAGAGCTTAGTGTTTTACTTACCAGTTCCACAGAACAGCGGGCTGAGTGAGACTTTCTCTGGGGAAGCTTGTCACTCTTGATCCTTTACCCTTAACCATGGTATGGCTTCAACAGGTCCTGCATGATCACATTGCCTATCGCTACGAAGTCCTGGAGATGATTGGCAAAGGATCCTTTGGACAGGTGGCCAAGTGTTTGGATCATAAAAAGAATGAGTTGGTGGCACTGAAAATCATCAGGAACAAGAAGAGGTACTGCCCTCTAGACCGTCCTAACCACAGAGACATGACCTTCTCGTTTGGGGCACCTCTCTTGATTATCTTCTTCCTTTTCTCTCCTTCCCTCTTTTTTCTTTTTTCTTCTCTGTCCTTTTCCTTTTTCTTTCTTTTATCCACCAGTCCCCTTGCACTCTCTCCTAAGTTCTCCTCTTCCTCCTTCTACCACCCTGCTTTCTCCTTTCCTTCATTTTACACTTTGTCTCTCTCTCAAAGGAATGCTTAAAATGATTTTCTTTTATTGAATGTCCATTTTTAAAAATTGGTGATTAGATTCAGTTTTGCAGAGTATATCATTTTAGGTTGTATCTTGAACTCCTTTGCTTTTGGGACTATAATATTCCATTCTATTCTATGGATTTTAGTTGGTGAAGAATAGTTTTGTGTTATTCTCATTTTCTTTCCTTTATATTTGAAGTTCTTCCTCCCCGTCACTTACAGATTTTTTTTTTTGTAATTGAAATTCTTACCTCTAGCCTCTGTGTATTTTGGAATTAGGAATATATTGGGCTTTTTTTCTGGAGGCAATATGTGGATCCTTATAACTGTTGTTTTATTTTCTATATTCAGAAGTTTGGGGCAGTTTATTTGTATTATTTCATTTATTCATCATTATTTCATTATCATGTATCATGATGTTCAGGTTTTTTGACTTGTCATGTTTTTCTAGGTCTGTGATCTTTCTAGGTCTGTGATCATATCTTGTGTTTGAAAACAGTGTGTTTTGCTTATATTAAGATAATTTTTTTTTACTGTTATTGCTTTTTGCTTCTCTTCTTTTTTCATCTTTTAGTTAGTTCTCTGTGCTAAGTCAACGTCTATTGCTTTTTGCACAATGTCTGTTGCTTTTTTGAGTGGGTGTTCGAGGTAGAGTTTTTGCTAGGGATCACTGGAGAGGAAAAAAGCATACTCCCCTTCTCTTATTCTTTCCCCTTCTCTCCAACCTCTGTACTCGCCTGGTGGTTGAACAAAGTTAAGTTCTGATGTCTGTTGCTACAGGATCCTGGGGGAAGAGTAGGGATGGGATTCTTGGTAGGGGTTGCAGCTAGAGGGAAGTCTGAGTAAGTGCTAAAGCACAAAACTATGGGTCAGTTTTTATGCCCTGTTAAAATATGGAGGTTGGTGGAGGAGGACATGGAGGAATTAAATTAATGAGTTAAGAATCAGCATTTCCCACTGTTAATTCATAAGACTGCTAACTTTGTTGAACTTCTTGCTTTCTTGTCCATTGGAACTAGCTGTAGTTGCTCCACCTTTGGCATATCCTTTCTGGAGGGTATTTTTTTTTCTGAGAGTTAGTGGGTACTAGAGAAAATACCTAGTCCTCCATCTTGTCAGTGATGTGACTTGGAGGTTATTTTTTATTACTCTTTATTATTAATGTTATTACTCTATATTATTCATTTTTATTACTCTCTTCCTGACCCTTTCCTTTCTTCCCTTCTTTTTTTCTTTCTTCTTCCCCATCTCTAGCCTTCTCTCATTTCTCTACTCTCTTTACAATTCTTTTAAATTTTTTCTCCCCTTGTTTCAATGGGGCATTATCTAGTTCTCTTTCTGTCTTGTTTTTCTCCCTCTGACTCATTCCCTAGTTCCTATATCTCATTCTGTTTTCCTTTTTTTCCCTCCCCCCATTTCCTTTTCCCACTGTGCTAAAAACTCTACAAAAAGAACCATGTACACACAGATCTTTTCTTTTAGTAATTTATATTAGAATATAGACTAACTTGTATGAGATCTCAAGACAGTAGATTCAGAATGCGAAACCAATACACGTAGTTTGTCTTATCTTCCCAATATTTAGTATGGTAGCACTTAATAAGTATTTATTAAATTGAATTACACTTTTATTCTTAAACCTATAAATAATATAAATGCTTCTCATGTGATTTCTACAACAATTTATTAAGTGCCTGTTATTTTCAAGGTATTGAAGATATAACTCAATACCTACTGTCAAGGAATTTATAATCTAATTAGTGAGAAAGACATGACAAACAATTGAGTTTGAAACAAGGGAGATTGAGATTAAGTGTAAAGGAGAAATCCAGGCAAAGTGCTATAAGAAACCTGAAGCAGGAAAGATCACTTTCACCCAAAGAATTAGGAGAGGCTTCATGGAAGAGGTGGCACCTGAAATATTCTTTGAAGGAAAAGACTTCCAAGAATGGAGATTGGAGATTGGGTGGGTGAGTAGCATGTCCATTGTAGGGATGGATCATAGGGAGCCAAAAGAAAACTTGGAGATCATCTGGTCTAACCTTATTTTAAAGAAAAGAAAACAAAGCCCAATAACTTGTATGAAGTTACATAGGCAGCGTATGGTAAAGCTAGAATTTGGACCCAGGCCCTATGACTCTAGATCAAAAGTTGTTTCCACTGTACCAGAAGGAAGATGGTAGCCTATTTTGTCTGGAATAGTATAGTACATGTAAAGGAGGATCGTGTAAGAAGGATGGAAATAATAGTTGGACTCAGATTATGAAAGTTTTTGAATGCCGGATTCTATAGGGAGATTATATGTCAGTAGGGAGATTTTTGATAATCAAGCTTAGAATGGCATCTTAAGAAATAATCATGGTCAGAATGGCATATTAGGAAAGTTTTCCTGGGCATCAGTATGAAGAATGGATTAGAAAGAGGAGAGAGTGTAGGCAGGGAGATGAGTTAGGAAGCTGTTTAAAACATGGCAAGCAAGAGGTGATGGAAGTATGAATTCAGGATGGTAACAGGTGGAATGTAAAGTAAAAGATGGATGGAAGTGAAAGAAATTTTAGAGGTAGAATTGACTTGATAAAATTGACTGGATGTGGAGGGTAAAAAACCCTGTGGTTCTGCTAGCCTAGATGACCTAGCCTAGTGATCATATTAACAGAAACAGAAGGGGCAGGGATAAATTTAGGAGATAATATGAGGAGATGAATTTTAGATGCAGTGAGTGTGATGTCTTGGTAGCATTTCCAGATGATGATGTTTAAAATGCAGTTGGAAATTTGCATTTGGAGTACTAGGGACACATGTGTGTGTGTGTGTGTGTGTGTGTGTACATATATATATATGTGTGTGTGTGTGTGTGTGTGTGTGTGTGTGTGTGTGTGTGTGTGTGTGTATATATATATGTGTATATATATATATATATATATATATATATATATATATATATATAGAGAGAGAGAGAGAGAGAGAGAGAGAGAGAGAGAGAGAGAGAGAGTGTCTCTCAAGGATCAGCATACTTATTTAAGAGTCAAGAGGAAGATGAGTATCTAGTTAGGAAGAATCAAAAAATAATAAATGGGTAATTAGGAAAAGAGAATGAGACTGAACTGTCATGGAAGCTAAAAGGGCAGAAAGTTTCAAGAAGAAAGGTGTCAAAAATGTCAAATGTTCTAGAGAGGCCAAAATGGATAAGAATTGAAAAAAGTTCCACTAGATTTTTTTTTCATAAGGAAGTCATTATAATGACAGTAGAAACTGGAGAAATTAGAATTATGGTGTGTTAGAGTTAAGAGGGACCTTAGAATTATCTAGTCTAACCACTCATTTTTCTTTTTTACAGATAAGGAAATCAAGGCCCAGAAAGGGCAAATGACTTGTCCAAGGTTATACAACAAGTTCGCCATAGAGCCAGGGTTAGAACTCATTACACCTGACTCTCAGTCCAGTGTTCTTTCCAGTAGTGGTAGAACTCACATTCTAAGGTGAGGTGAGGGGCAAAGAAATGCCATTGACCCTCTTCCATTCAAACTGGGAAGACTATGAGAAGGAGATAGGATTTCAAGAACTCTTTGAAAGTGGGGAGAGAGAGAGAAGCTGGCAGGCTGGCAATAAAAAAAATCATTCTAGGTATAAGGTTGAAGATGTATTTGGGAAGAAAATGAGCAGATGTTGGGTCATTCAGGCAGGGCTACCTGAGATGCATAGGGAGTTGTCTGGGAGAAAGAAGCAGATTGGGGGTTGAGAGCAGGTAAAGGAACTCTCGTGAAGGACTTTGAAGGGCACGCTGCCACCACTTTCTCACATCCCAAGGGATTAGAGTTGTGATTGGTGGGAAGGGACTGAGGAACACTTTTAGGTTAGGTTTGGTAGATATTGTGAAGCCTGCTTTTCTAACATGACTCAAAACTCATTTTTCCCATCTTCCTTTTTCCCTATACCTCAGATTTCACCATCAAGCTCTTGTGGAGCTGAAGATCCTAGAAGTCCTGAGAAAGAAGGATAAAGACAATACATACAATGTGGTACACATGAAAGACTTTTTCTACTTCCGGAATCACCTCTGCATCACCTTTGAACTTTTGGGGTAAATTGTCTTTTCTGTTTTCTTCTTTCTTAGTTGAAGATGGGCTTAACCTTTCGTAGGTGGGATTTAAGTTAGAGCTCTATAAGGCCTTCTGGACTCTCTGGGTTATATTAAATTATCTCTCTTTGATCTCTTTTCAAGGTAATTTTTTTGATACACAACTTCCTTAACTTTCCTTCTATTTTTTTAATCTTTTAACTCACTTTAAATATTTCTTGTTGTCTCATGGAGTCATTAACTTCTGTATGGTTCATTCTAATTTTCAGGGAGTCTGTTTCTTAGGTAAGATTTTGTACCTCCGGTATTAGGCTGTTAATTTTCTTTTTAAGTCTCTTCTCCATAGCTATGGTTTCTTTTACAGTTATTTACTCTAGCACTCTCATTTCATTGAAAATATTACTCTCTAAACTATTTCTAATTTAAAAAAACTCTTGCTTCATTTCTTATTGGAAATTCTAATTGATCTTGTGGTGAACTATATCTTTCTTTGAGGCTTTGCTTGTAGGAGTTTTGGAATTATACTTTTCTGTGTTTGTGCCTTGGGTGTCCCTGGCATAATAGCTCTTTATTTATTTATTTTTTTTGTCTACTCATTCTTTCAGCCTTCCTGGATTGGAATTTTGTGCTAGGACCTGGATCTGCACACTTCTAGTAGGACTGCCATGACCTTGTTTGGTCCTGGTCTATCTTCTCTAGTGTCCTGCTGTCTTCCTCCAGGGATTATGTGCTATATTTTTCAAGGATCACAAGGGCAGCTCAAGCCAGAGAACTGCACACTTTTACCAGACTCTGAGTGGTCTGATCAAGGGCATGGTGTGATAGCAATCATATAGCAAGATGATAGCCTTCCTACAATTTCCAGATTCCAGATCTTGATTTGGTTCTTGATAATGCAACTGTAGACTTGCTTTTGAGTGGAGGTCAAGTAGAGAATTGTTGGCCCCTGACACCATCAGATAGCATGAAGGTTCTGTAGATTCGGAGCCACAAGCACCACTTGCTTATGCCTGTTCTTGGCTTGGGACTTGAGTCTGTGACACCCCTTTCTGGGTTAGAGAGATAGTGTTGAGACCCTGTTCTGATCCCCAGGCTGAGTCTGAGATATCCTCTCCCAAGTCAAAGCAACAGTGCTGTAGTCCTATTCTGCTCCTGGGGCTGAATTTGTAGTCCCCTCTCTGGGTCAGAGAGATAGTTTTGAGGTCCTGCTGCTGAAACTGAGTTCTTTTCTGAAAGGTCAGAGTGACAGTGCTGTGGCCCTTTTCTTCACCTAGGCATTCAGTTCAGAACTCCTCTCTCTGGGTTAGAGGTGCAGCACTATGGCCCAAAGGCTTAGTCTGAGGCACTGATTCCCTCTCTGTGATCAGAGTGATAGCACTACAGACCTGTTCTGCTCCTGGGGTCTGAATCTGTGATTCTAACCCACCCCATTCCACAGTTTTTGTCCTAGTCACTTGCCTAAGGAGCAAATTGTGATCTCAGGCTGCATAGATGATCCACTGTATTTTTCCTTAGATTTCTTGATCACTCTATTTGGCCTAGTACCTTTCTTAGATCTTTGTTAGAGTACTAATGGTGTTTGGTCACCATGCAAATACTAAGATCAGGGAGAAGAGAATCTTCTGTTGAACTTTTATCTAGTCAATTTTAGTTCAGTATGAAGCAGAATTTTTTATGCTGTCCAACAGTGGAAATAGAATAACTAGAAATATAATAATAATATAATATGTGATATAATAATAATTGGATGGAAATAATATAATACCTGGAAATACTCAAGCAGAGTCTAGAGACCAGTGCTCATGTTATAAATAGGAATCAGGCTATTGTGGTGGTGAGTTGAGATGACTTCTGAGGTCTCTCTACCTCTTGGCATCTATGACCCTCTGCTTTCAAGTTGCTCAGAAAGAGAAAGTTAGGAAAACTCTGAGGGGGTTATTGAAGAGAGTGAATCTATATTGTGACACTTTCCTCTTTCAAAATCAGCAGGTATAATTCCAGATTTCTCTCCAAAGTGTCTCAATTTTTCCACATCCCCTCTAACATTTTTTGCTTTCCCCTTCAATCATTTTAGCCAGTTTGGTGGGTATAAAGTTGTCTTAATTTGCATTTTTGTAATCAATAAGGATTTAGAGCCTTTTGTCATATGACTGTAAATTGTCTTGATTTCTTCATCAGAAAACTGACTATTCATATCCTTTGACCGTTTATCAATTGAGGAATGACTCATTTCTTATAGATTTAACACAGTTCTTTATACATTTTAGATATGAGACCTTTATCTGATAAACTGTCTATGAATTTCTTCCCCCCAGTTTTCTGCTTTCCTTCTGATCTTGGCTACATTTGTTTTATTTGTACGAAACCTTTTTAGTTTAATGTAATCAAAATTATCCATGTTACACCTAACTTTTCTCTATCTCTTGTTTATTCATAAATTGTTCCCCTATCGATGTCTGGTAAGTAATATGTTCCACGTTCTTCTAATTTCCTTGTAACATCTCTCTTTATATCTATTTTATTCTCTTTATTTTCTTGAGCTTCCAGTCAGAGACAACACTTCTGGCTAAACCCTTCAGTGTTAGATCTATGAGTTCTTTATTGGGAGAGCCCTGTGAGCAACATAGCTTTAGTTCTGACACATTGCCTGCCCAAGAAACATGCCCCTTTCTTTGTGGCAACTCTTTTGACTTGTCTTCCACTTTCTCAGCTCCATGTAGCTTCCCACAGCACCCCTTTCTTATCTCCATTCTTCTTCTAGTCCCATCAAGAGCTGAGTTCCTCTGTGACTGTCCCTCTTGGACTTAGTGAACTGATTTTTTTTTTTAATTTTTATTTTTTTTACAGGTGTCTAGACTATTTTATTTTTAAAATTAATTTATTTTTAGTTTTCAACATTCACTTCCATAAACTTTTGAGTTTTAAATTTTCTCCCTCTCCCCAAGATGACGTACAATCTGACATAGGCTCTCCGTACCGTGATCTAATCTTCAAGGGATTAATTTGCACCATATGAAGAAGTTAGCTGTCGTAACTATCTCCTTCACAATTGTTTTACCACCTCCTTGTCTGCCCCCTTTTTTGTGATTATATCCTGGTTTTTAAAGGACCACTCTGTTACATTTAAAAAGAAAATCACAAAAAATAACTCTTTGGGGATATAATCGGATATAATTAGAAATTAAGGTAAAATGAAAACAAATGATATTACTAAAATTTTAAAAATCCAATAGATTCCCCCCTGTACTTTCCTCATTTAAATTGGTCTTTCTCCCTCTCTCCCCCAGGATCAATTTGTATGAGTTGTTGAAGAATAATAGTTTTCAGGGTTTCAGCTTGTCTGTGATTCGACGCTTTACACTCTCGGTTCTAAAGTGTTTGCAAATGCTGTATGTAGAGAAAATCATTCACTGTGATCTCAAACCAGTGAGTATTTCTTCTGCACATACCCTTCCTTCCTTTTTCTGACCATTCTTCTCCAATTGTTGGCAGACACCTGACTTTGTAACTGTGCTGGCAATCAAGGCTGGAACCCAACCCCTGGTTTTCTTTTCTTTGAATATTTTTCTTAACATATTTTATTTTTATGTGACAAAACTACCCAAATCCTCAAACTTCCTATGAAATATACTGCACCAAAAGAGTTAAGTAAAACTGCCAAATGGTGTGTTTTTAACCATGCTAAATGTTATTTTCCACTAATGGATGGACATGTGCATGTGGGTGAACAGTGAAGGAGAATATATTGTTCCATTTTCTCTAGCTTACTGATCACAGAAAGAAGGGGTAAATGCTTAAACTTTAATAATTGAGGACCAGCATTTCCCATTGTCTTTGTTCTATTGTTGCTTTTTGTCAGTATTAACTTAAAATACATTTCTGTATGTAATATAATATATATACATACATACACATACACATACACACATATACATATTTAGCTTTGTTCTCTTCACTCTGAATTGCTTCATACAAGTTTTCCCAATTTCCTTGAAATCATCTTCATCTTCATTGGTCTTTATGGCACAATAGTATTTCAGTACATTTATATTCCTTTAGCTACTCCCAAAATATCAGGCATGAATTAGTTCATGCAAACAATGCTGTTCTGAACTTTTTGTTCACATGGATCTTTTCTTGCAATCACTGATCTCCTTGGGATATAAACTTGTTCGTTAGATCTCTGAGTCAGAGGGTATGAAAACTTTAGCACCTTTTCTTGCATGACTACAAATTGTCTTTCAGAGTGTCAACTATATTTCCAGGCCAACTGTAGTTCCAATTAGTCTCAGCTAAGACTTTCAGAGCTGGTATTAGGGAAAGAAGTCAACGGGCAGCTAGGTACTGCAGTGGATAGAGTATAGGTCATGGGGTCAGGAAGACTCCTCTTTATGAGTTCAAATCTGGCCTCAGACACTTACTAGCTGTGTGACCCTGGGCAAGTCACTTAACTCTATCTGCCTCAGTTCCCTCATTTGTAAAATTAGCTAGAGAAGGAAATGGCAAACTACTCTAGTATCTTTGCCTACTAACCCCCAAATGGGGTCATGAAGAGTTGGATGTGTCAGAAAAACAACTGAACAGATACTATGACAGATAGGAACAGAGACCAACTAGGGTCTTTTGGGGGGACAACAAGAATCTTAGGAGATTATTCTGTATCTTGATATATGTAATATGGTTTCAGAGAAAGAGGAGTTGGACTCTTAGCTGTTTTTATTTTGTCTATGGGACAGGAGCAGCCCATGGAAAAATTACCAGGAGATCTGGCTATACCAGAATAAATGAGTAAAATTTAAAGTAAAAAAGAATGATTCTTTAAGGAAAGCATTTTGCAAACCTTGGAGCACCATATAAAATATGAACTTTAATTATTAATCAGATAGTCTTATTCTTTTCAATTGAATATACATCATAAAGCAATAATTATTTGTAAGGTTCTGCAGATGCCAAGACAAAAATTCAACAGTCCTTGTTCTCAAGGAGCTTACATTCAAATTTGAATACACACATGTATATCTATACATAGATAAATAAAATGTAAGTTAATTTGAGGAGGGAGAGAGCACAAAATGTAAAGAAAAAGAATAACAACAAAATAATCATGATTGAATGCTGGAAAATGATAGTGACCTAACTTGATTTTCAAGAAGAAATATGAGAATACGTCTCTCTACCTTCTTTGCAGAGGTGGAGGACTACAATTAAGGAACTTGCACATAATGTCAGACTTGCCTGATTTATTCATCTGATTTTGCTAAGCCTTTTTTTTTCTTTTTAAAATGTTTTGTTATAAGAGATGATTGTCTGGAAGGAGGGAAGAGAAAGATATATTGAGAAATGTAGATAATATAAAATTTAAAAACAATGCTAATATTTTATAAACCAATGGAAAGCCTCATGGAGGAAGTGCTACCTGAGCCAATCCCTGGGGGAAAATAAAAATTCTGAAAGGAAGAGACGGGGAAGGTATGTTTTGCAGGCATGGGACTATGCGTTCAGTCAGGAGATGGCAAGTACAGGAAATGACAAATAATAGTCCAGTCTGTATGGAATGTAGAGAGTACATGAGAATGATTCATGTGAAACAAGGTTAGGAAGATAGCGTGAATAGCTTGGAACCCAATCAAGTCTTGGACTTGGAGTCAGGAAGACTTGAGTTTGAATGCATCCTCAGACCTTTATTTTCTGTGTGACCTTAAGGTAAGTCATTTAACATCACAGGTTCCTTGTCTATAGAATGGTGATAATAGAAATATTAATTTTGAGGGTTGTAGTATCCAATGAGATAGCCTCTTTAAAGTGCTTTGCAAATCTCAAAATCCTATATAAATACTAGTTATCAAGTCAGACTGAAGAGTTTGTATTATTCAAGAGGCAATAGGAAAACACTGACAATTCTTGAGCAGTGAAGTGATGTGGCAAAATGTGTGCCTTAGGAAGATTCTTTTGACAACTATGTGGAGAATAGATTGGCAAGTGGAAGGCTGGAGGTAGGGAGCCAATTAGGAACTTATTATAATAGTTCAGATGAGATGTGGTGAGGGCTTGAACTAGTGTTTTCATAGCATGAGTGGATAGAGCTGGATGGCAGAGATCCTGTTGAATAATAGGATTTGGCAACTGATTGGATTTGAGTTAGGGAGAGGGAAGATTCAAGGATAACTTCAAGGGATTACCAGCTTGTATAGTTTAGAGATTGGGACTTCTCAGCCATATCTCAGCTCCTACCAATAAATCCCTTCACTTCCACTAGGAAGAGTACTAGATCCTGCCTCCCCTGCCCAGGATTCTCTTTATCTTTCCCTCCCTCAGCAGCTTAGATATAGCATTTACTTTCCCCAAAACCTATTGTTGGTTTTCCTATAGTCTATTGTAAAGGAAAGCCAACATTCATTCCAATTATTGACCTTTGTCACCCTCTACTGTCACACTTATAAAATGGCTAAGTGGGAGAAAATTAGGAATTTGAAAATTCTGAGACCTAAGGAGATTATTTTGTAAATCCCGTTTATTTTGTAATAGGAGGAATAAAGAACTTGTCCAAGGTCACATAGGTGGCAAAGGTAGAATTCTAATGCAGTCTTATGACTCCAGCTCCATTAATTCTTCTATTATACTACGTTGCATGAATTCTTACACACACACACACACACACACACACACACACACACACACACACTGCACACAGGGTTTCTATGTGCATTCAGAAGTAACAGGACACACACACACAAAACACAGTTAAGTAACAACATAAGTTACTGGGCTGTTGTTCAGTCTTTTCAGTTATGTCTGACTCTGTGACCCCATGTGGGGTTTTCTTGGCAAAGATACTAGAGTAGTTTGCCATTTCCTTTTCCAGCTCATTTTACAGATGAAGAAACTGAGGCATACAGGGTTAAGTGACTTGTCCAGGGTCATGTAGCTAGTAAGTGTCTGAGGCTGGATTTGAACTCAGGAAGATGAGTCTTCCTGACTTCAGGGCCTGTACTCTATCCACTCTGCCACATAGTTGTCCTAAACTGGTGGGTACTAAGGACCAAATAAATGGTCTAGACAGTGAAGGCAATAGGTGTTCAGACAACGAAGAGTTCATTGTGGTCTGTAGCAGCCATGGAAGGCCTGTTGGAAAAGATGAATTTGAGAGCCATTCTGAGAGATGGATAGGATTTGATTATGTGGAAAATAAGACAGAAGGTTTTCCTAATGAGGAGAATATTACTGAAATGTTGCATGTATCTTTCATTTCCTCTCTAGGAGAACATTGTTCTATACCAAAGGGGTCATGTATCAGTTAAAGTTATTGACTTTGGGTCAAGTTGCTATGAACATCAAAGAGGTGAGATTCTTTATTAGTTTCCTCATTGAGATTCCTTCATTTTCTTTCTCTCACTGAAATGTTTCTTTCCTTGACCTGTGTCTAATCACATATCTATGTAAGCCATCAGCTCTGTAGTATTTCTTTTCATCCTAATAGCTCCCAGTCAAAACCTGTCCTGACCTATGATGGTAGGGTGCCTTCCTGGGAGACACAGAGTGTTTGGAGAGAGGTTGGAAAGCAGCAGGGAAAATCACAGAAGGTTTTGGGTGAAAAGGAGACCATCTATGAGGAAATGTAAACAGATGGGAGAATGATTGAGCCTGGAGAAGAGAGACATAGGGGTGAGGTGAGAGGGCAGAATGAAACTGATAATTCTACAATCTTTCTATCTCCAGGCTATGGTTTGGAGATAATGATTTACTACTAAAGAACTGTCATTCATTCAACAAACACTGATAACAATAAAATAACTCAATTTTATATTATCCTTCAGATTGGCCATATAGCCATTGGTGAGCTTGGGGGTCCACAGGAAGGAAAACATACTGGACACACACAGTTAGCAGGATGGATTTATTGCAAAATTATACAGTGTAATTCAGGCATTCAGTACCTCATTTAGAGAGATGGTAGAGCAAGTCCTGGTTAGTAGCCCTCTTAGCAGAATTACTAAAGGGCCTCTGCATCCTGCCCAGTATGCTGGACTCTATATAGTCAAGTGAAATGGAGATATTTAGCAGGATATAGCTCTCTCACTTTTGAATGACCTGCCCTTTTCTCAGTCTGGAGGATATACCAGCAATGTCCTCATGACTGTCCTGTCTACCAGGACAGCTTTTTTTTAAGGTGCTTAAGAGTAAGATGGGGCAGTTAGGTGGCGCAGTGTATAGAGCACTGTCCCTGCAGTCAGGAGGACCTGAGTTCCAATCTGGCCTTAGACCAAACACTTGACATTTACTAGCTGGGTGACCCTGAGCAAGTCACTTAACCCCATTTGCCTAAAAATTAAAAAAAAAAAAGACAGGAACCTGGTAGATAGTACTCTGGACTTGGAGATGGGAAGTCCTGAATTCAAAACCTAAGACACTAGCTGTGTGATCCTGAGCAAATTAATCTCTTAGCCTTAGTTGCCCCATCAGTAAAATGAGGGTAATAATAGTACCAATCTCACAGGATTGTTATGAGGATCAGATTAGATAACATGAATGAAGCACTTTTTAACTCTTTAGATGCTGTATAAATGCTAGCTATTGTTATTATTTATTTTTATTACTTGAAAGCTTTTCTCCAGGAACTTTAGGAACCTAGGACGAATGATACATGCTCACCAAACTGGTGTTTAAGATATAAGTATTAATTGCTGTCTCCACATATTTATACTGGGCTTTATGATATACAAAGTTCCTTTTCTCATAACAATACAGTGAAATACATAGTACATGCATTATCACCATCATGTTTGATTTGAAAAGAAAGGCACAGAGCTAGTAAATGCCTTAGGATTTAAACTGGGTCTTTGTGTTTGTGTGGGGGTGGGTGGGCAGTGGACCCAGGACAGGACCTGGTAGAAACAGATGATGCTCTTCTTCCTCTGAGTTAACTGATGATGGCCAGGAAAGGGGAGAGGTATGTGTGTTTGGGGGATGGGGATCCCACAGTGGCCAATGGTGCTGTCCAGTATGGGGTGCTGGTTAGCCAGGCTGAGTCTGGGGTCAGCCACGGTCTGCATGATGCAGGTGCTATCACCTCCTTTTCCCTAGTCTCTGACAAAGAGGTGGCCTTTCTTCTTGCCAAGGCCAACCTACACCTGCACTTGGGTCCCATAGTCTCCCATCTTCTCTAGCAGATTGCATCCTCAATCATTCTTTTTTTTTTTAATCTTCAACCTCTCCAAACAACTGATTTTTTTTCAAACATGTCTTAAGTCTCCACCATCTTTAAAAAAAAACCCTTCTTCTAGACCCTACCATCTTCTTAAGCTAGCATCCTATATCTTTCCTTCCTTTCTCAAATTCCTTGAAAAAGCTCTTTAGACTTGCTATCTCCACCTCCTTTCCTCTCACTCACTCCTCAACCTTCTGCAATCTGGCTCACAACCTCACTGTTCCTTCCAAAATAACCAATGATCTTATAATGTCTAACCCCAAGTTGGCTTCTGTTTCTCCTCTCAGAGTTCTAGGGGCAAACCTAGAGGGAGGGGGGAGTTTCATTCTAATATCATTAATCTCAGTCTTCCAAACAGTTGTGTTGCTCCCAATGTCATTCAATCAGTTAATATCCCCCCAATATATCATCATTGTCAATTAACCAGTTGACACTGATTAGCTTTTACTAAGTGATATTTACTAAGAAGGTATAGCAAGGACATAAGTAAAAAAATAGCCCTTCAAACCACGAGAACGTTCTCCCCTCTACATACTGACTTAGTCTTTGGGGAAAGCAGACTCAAAGTGATGACTACCAAACATTCCATCCACCAAGTTAATTTCTGGATGTAACATAGTTGATGAATGAATTGCTCCCTTGCTTGAGGGCCATGAATGGTGTCGTAGTTGCTGGTTCAATTTGCTTCTGTACTAGCTTAAGCAGGTTGCTCCTTAGGGCTGGCTCCTCAGCAGACTAGGCTGCTGGGTCTACCAGTAGACTCTGATATAGACTCTAGTTGCTGGACCTCTGGTGGATCTTCCAACCTTTTAAATCTTACAGGCCTATAACCTGGCCTATTCTATCTCTGATATTCATTCACCTAAGATCAGGAGAGAATAAAATACAACAGAGACAGAATTAGTGTCATCATTAGTTTACGGCCATATGGCAGCCTGGATGAGGAGATACAGTTACAACAGAATCTGCCACTGCTACTACTTATACCTCTCCTCCCTATTCAGAGGCTCATAGAATTCCTTCTTCCTTCTCACTGAAAAGCCACCAAAGAAAAGGTAGTTCATGTGTTCAGGTCATTTGTATGCTTAGTTCCAGCTCAAAGTCAATTCAAAAGCTTTTCAATACCACACTGAAAGCTGGTAGGATGCCAGTAAGAGACGGTGATTGAATACCTGTGTATGCTCTAAATCAGGAAAGGAAAGAGCCTTTCCATTGCACATTTTCAGAAGCATACTCTCCCAAGCCTCCATATAGATTACCAATAGTCAGAACATTATTCATGCTTCAAAGACTGGGCTCTTATTGGCCAGCTCCTCCCTCCCTGCTCCCCCCTGTTCCCTGCCCCAACACAATGACTATAATGATATAAATGAAAAGATGACTTGAACTCTGAGTGATGGAAAAACAAATGAAAATCATAGTGAATAGATAAAGAAGCCTACCGTCTAGTCCTCACAGAGATCTGGGAAACTACTATGAAGGAATGTTGTATACATTATTAAACAAGGTTTTTGTATCGGATGCTTTTCTTTGTCACAGACAAGGAGGGTTCAATCTGCACATGTAGGAAATGATGGTGATGTAAAAACAAACGGCATCGATAAGATATATATCTTTAAAAAAAAAAAAGGAAACACTGAAGATCATAAAGAGCCAGCATGGCTTCATTATGAATAGGTCATACCAGACTAATCGCATTTCCTTTTTTGACAGGACTACTAGGCTGGTATATCAAAGGACTACTGTAAGGTATAGTTTACCTAGATTTTGGCAAAGCATGCAACAGAGACTCTTTTGCTATTCCTATGTAAAAGATGGAGAGGTATGACTAAACAATAGTTTAGGTATGATTGAATTGCTGGACCCATAGAAGAGTAACTTGGGATAAATGTCAGCTTTTGATTTGAAAGGAGGTCTCAAATGGAGTGCCCAAGGGATCTGTGCTTAATGCTGTGCTGTGAACATTTTTTTTTAAATCAATGGCTTGAATAAAACACATAACATGTTTATGAAATTGTAGGTAATACAAAGCTGGGAGGGATGTTGAATGACAATCAGGATCTAAAATAGTCTTTATAAGTGAGAATGTTAGACCAAATATAATGAAATGAAATTCAATGGAGATAAATACAAAGTCCTACAGTTGGGTTCAAAAAGTGAATTTTGTAACTACAGGATAAGGGATATATGACTAGTCAGCAATTCATCCAAAAATATCTGGGGGTTTTAGCGGAATTCATGTTGATAGTATCACAGTACTATAATATGACACGTAAAAAGCAAATCCAGTTTTAGAGTACTTTTTAAGTCATGATATTTGGTACTACTAAAAATTAGCATTAAGACTTATAAAATGTTTTTATATATAGTATTTCATTTCAGCCTCCCAACTGTGAGGTAAATACTACAGTTGTTATTATCCTCATTTTACAAATTAGGCTAAAAATAATAATATCAACCTACCCACAGTCCCACAGCTATTAAGTATCTGAGGTGGGATTTGAACCCAAATCTTTCTCACTCTAACTCCAGCCCTCTATCTGCTACCCATTTTGCCTCTCTCCAGGCTATGCTGTCCTTTCCTGGGTGAGAGACAGGTAACAAACCTGTCATAGGCAAATTCATGGTATTATAGCCATCTGAGCACCTCATTTTAGGAAGGGCATTGATAATCTGGAGAGTGTCTAGAGGAGACCAGCATGGTGAAGATTTTCAAGAACATGCCATATCACATTCAACTAAAAAGATTGGGGATGTTTAGGATGGAGAAGAGAAGAAAAATAACAATTTTCAAGTATTTAAAAGGAGAGGTTTTAGACCTTTTATGATCTATAGGCTCCAGTATTGGATAGGTACATACTCTGACTTGATCTAAGGGTAATAAGCATGGTGGTGGTATGTGAAGAGAGCTTCATAGGACGTAGCAAGATGGCCTATATGCAGTGGGTGAAATAAGTTTTGGAGCAGAACTGAGATAAGTAAGGGTGAGGTTTTAGGGGCAGATATTATGGGCATGCTACTTGAATTTTAGACAAATGAGGCCATAAAACAGGATAGCTAGTATTGGAGACCCAAGAGAATGGAAGGGAGATTGGTGTGGGAGGCTTTTTTTGGGTAGAACTAGATCAATAGAGAATTTGCAAAATGAATTTTTTGCAGGCTTTGTATTATAATCACGGCCCTTGGTGTTTTGGAGTATGGCTCCACGTGGTCTCTATTCAAGGCAAGCTGTGGCTCCTTGATTGTGAGAAGACTTCAAGTCTTTGTGCTCTTACCTAGAGGTCTCCAAACATTTTTGGTTGTGCATTCCAGACCTGTCAAACTTAGGGCTTTGGTGGCAAGCAGTCCAAAAAGCTCCTGAGTGCCACTGGCACCACATTAAAATGTAATTGGGAAATGTTTAACAAAATTTAAAAAATACAATGCAACATAGATAATGTTAATTTGTAGTTTTCTAATTGAACATGTGCCCCACAGAGATCATTTCTGTTTGAGTTTAATACCCCTGGTATACTACATCAGTAGAGTAGTTTAAGCATCTAGCTCCAATATGTATATATTTATTCATAATACATATAATGTACTAATAATTAAGTATATTGTACAACTAGGGCAAAAAATAGATATTTTTAAAAGGTGAAATAAATAGGAAATAATATTTGACACTAGAGTCAATAGGGAGCCACTGAACTTTATTGGGTAGGAGAGTGGAAAATCACTTTATCAGCTTTGTGAAAGATGGATTGGAGTGGGGAAAGATTTAGGCAGGAAAACCAATTAGGAGGCCACTGCAGTAGAAAGGTGATAGGCTACCATTAGGATGATGACTGTGTGACTGGAGAGCAAGGGACAGATGTGAGAGATGCTGTGGAGACAGAAGCGAGATTTAGCAACTAAACTGATTGGATATGTGGAATAAGCAAGAGTGAAGAGTTGAAGGTGACATTGGGGTTGTCAACCTGGTTGACTGAAGGGTATGTAGGAAAGGTCAGAAGAGGGGTGGGAATTTTTTGTGGGGGAGGGGAGGTAGAAGATAATTTAAAGATGTCAACAATGTAGATTTCAACCTATCCATGCTTGCTTATTTTGCATTATTCTATTCTATCCCGCCTAAACTTGTTCTCAAATGATTGGACTGGATGACCTCTACAATCCTTTCTAGTTCTAAATCTATGATTCTATGGTCATCTTCCTTCTTCATTTCTTCCATCTTATCTATTTCCTCTTCCTCCTCTCTCCTCTTTTCCTTCCCTTCTTCTCCTTCCTCTTTGCCTTTAAGCTTGATGAATTTCAAATGTCCTCTCTAGAATAGAAGTAATTGACCAACAGAACCTTTGGAGATGAAGATTAGTTTCATAATCTACCAACTGCACTAGGGAAGATTTCTTGAAGGAGGGTGTGGGGAAAGATCAAGGACAGAAACACAAGTAGGCTCATATTTTTCCCTCCGTAGTGTACACTTACATCCAGAGTCGTTTCTATCGTTCCCCGGAGGTGATTCTGGGCCAACCCTATGACGCTGCTATTGACATGTGGAGCTTGGGCTGCATTCTGGCAGAGCTGTACACTGGCTACCCACTTTTTGCTGGGGAGAATGAAGTAGAACAGTTGGCCTGCATTATGGAGGTGAGGCATGAGAACCAGGGGGGTGGGGCTTACCATCCCCAGCACAAAGCCAAACCCAGACTGAGCAGATACACACCTTTTGTCCCAGCATCAAGGGCTGGGACATTCACTTCTGCTCAAGATCTTGAGGAGATGGGTCAGGATGGGACCTGGAGCAAGAAATCAAGTTAATTCTAAAGCTTTGCTGGCCCTGAAGCTGACCCATCAGCCCCTAAATCCTGAAATAAGAGACCCTAGTTGTCACTCCTTGGGGGTATTTGAATCATTGAGCCTCTCCTGACATCTTTGGCAATGGAGAATGTCAGGTTGAAGAACCTAAGTACATCCAAGTCATATAAGAACATGCAGGTAAATGATCCTTTAAGCTGCTCCATTTTCATGTGCCTTTCTTGAGCTGGGGCTTAGCATTTCTTCAGAACAACATGTCCTGATTCTTGTATTCTTGACTTTATTCTTGGTAACCACAGGAAGGGTAAATGAACTCCTTTGTATTGTTTGTTGAAGGTGCTGGGTCTACCACCGCTCTACTTAATTCAGACTGCCTCCAGGAGGCAGACGTTCTTTGGTAAGTACTTATGCTCACTCTGCATTTCAGGGTATCTAATGGGGACGTTAAGAATGTGAAGGACCTTCAGGAGGCTTTCTGTTCATTCAAAAGAAACTTATTAGGTGCCTGCTATGTATAAGGCAACATTAAGACTACAGATTGCAGAAAGTCTTCATTGGTTGAGGGAATCTTAGGAAATCACAGGTATGCACCAAAGAAGATGCGTAATCTACTGTGTGAGCCATTGGAGGAGATCCAAAAATATAAGTCATAGTCTCTGTCTTTGAGCTCACAATAGTATTAGAATATGTTCTAGTTCTAGTAATGTTTAGCTAATCCTTTAGATTCCTGAGCAAACCCAGATTGACTATTTTCCTGTGGAAATGATTCTGTAATGATTCAAGTCAGAGGGAAAGTGGGACCAGTTTACTTAATGGTTATCATGTAGGTGGAGCTGTAGCAAGTCTAGGACATATTCAGGGATGAATTTGACTGGGCCCCTACAATTGGTAGGTAAAGATAAAGCAGAGCTTGAAATTTTGTGTAATGGATATTGAAGTTAATCACCCCAGCCAGGCCTCCTCTCTGCGATGATGCTATGTATGAGGCAGTGTTAAAATTATAAGGTACAGAATGCTGTTATTGATTAAGGGAGTCTTAGGAAATCACAGATCTGGACCAAATATATATACATATATATATACACATAAATACATATGGGTGTATACACATATATACACATAAATTTATATACATACACACACACACACACACACATACACACACCACTGTGTGAGTCATTGTGAGAGATACAAAGGGTGTGAATGAAGAGAATATGATTTGAAGCAGTGCTATTTTCAGGAAATATTAGTCGGGATGGAAGGGTAGCCAGTAGCTACCCCCTACCTACTATAAGCTGTCAACAATTTGTACTTACAGAATTACCTGAGTAGTATTTTTCTGGTTCTCTATTCCCTAACACTCAACAATCCAAAGGATTAAGGGAAAATTCAAAGTAGCTTCTCATTTAAGAAAGGTAGAAGGCCATGGGATGAGACTCTTAAAGGACTGAAGCCATACCCTCCCATACAGAAAATCTTTTAATGCCAGAAGCATTCAGAAGTAGTTTCATGCTGGAAGGAAGCTGGAAAGGGTCAGCCTGCTTTGCCATCAATCCAAGTACTCAAGGGCTAACCTTAGCCTGGGCTCCATACTGCAACCTCTAGACACAATTCTGATATGCTTTGCTATTTACTGTGTACCCTCAGGCAAATAATCTCACCACCCAGAGCCTCAATTTCTTCACTGTAAAATGAAAGGTTTAGATTTGATAATTTCTTGGGTCTGTTCTGGTTCTAAATCCTATGACCCTGGGGACATGGCAGTGGTAGCAGTGGCATGAGGTCAACACTACTTATCTGAGGACATAAGAAGTCAACAAGAGATGTTGATTCAAGTGTGAAATTGATAAGCCTATATGGGATAGTGAAAACATGACTGGGTATGGAGTTAGGTTAGTTTTAATTTCATCTTTTCTGTTTTATTTCCTGTGTAACCTTGTATAAAGCACTCACTTTATATATAAATATAACACTTTGAGGTTTACTAGTTATTTTCCTTAGCCAATTTGGGCCCCAGTTTTCTCATCTATAAAATGATGAGGTTGGAATTTAAGGCACCTTCTAGCACTAGATTCTGTAAATCTATGCCAAAAAGACAAATTCAGCTTAGAAATTAAACCTAGGAAACAAAACCCTTAAGTAAGAAACATATGAAAAAAACCAGAGGGAACTGAGATTAGCCAAATATTTGTCAGAATATGAGGGGAAGAGATGCCCATAGAGGAGACACTGGCAATTCCAATCCAATAAAATGGGTATTAATAGGTATCTACTATGTCCAAGGCATTGTGCTAGGTTCCAGGGATAAAAAAGACAAATGAAGAAGTGTCTGACCTCAAGGAACTTGCATTCTTCTGGGGATTTTGTTATTCATTCATTTCAATTATGTCCAACTCTTCATGACCCTATTTGATGTTTTTCTTGGCAAAGATACTGGAATGGTTTGCCATTTCTTTCTCTATCTTATTTTACAGATAAGGAAACTGAGATAAACAGGGTCACACAGCTAGTAAGTGTCTGAGGCCAGATTTGAACTCATGAATATGAATCTTGCTGACTCCAGACCTGACATTCTATCCACTGTACCACCTAGCTGCCCCTTTACTGGGGATACAGCATGTTAAAAGATCAGTATATACACAATTTGATGAAAGAGAGAATAATAACAGGTGGGAGGCTCAGAAAAGGCTTGCTATCAGAAATGACTCATGAGGTGATTTTAAAGTAAAGGATTCTAAGAGGTGTTGGTGATAAGGGGCACTTCCCTTATTCCTTATTCCAAGCATGAGGGATAAGCCTGTAGCAGAGGTCAGTGGAAAGGGTGTTGGATTTGGAATTAGAGCATGTGGGTTCGAATGCTGGCTATTCGACTTCAAACTCAGAACCTGTGATTCTTTGGGTCTGAGTTTCCTTATGTAATATGCTTCTCTATCTGTCTATCCTTATCTTACTCCCAACTTGTGAGTGCAGAAATGGGGACAGGTCTTATAGATGTGGTAGAAGAAAAAAAACCAATATTTGACATCTGGCTGGATGTGTGGAATAAAGGAGAAGAAAGACAAGGACAACTGAAATGATAAACTGAGGTGACTGGAAAGGTGGTGGGACTAGAAATAGAGGGGTTTATGTAAGGAACAGATGAAGAGGGAAGAAAATGAGGTTTGCTTTAGATAGGATGAGTTTGGAATGCATATGGGATGTTTACTCGAAGATGTCTAGCAGGCAGTTAATGATACAGGTCTGGAGCCCAGGAGAGAGGTGAGAGTTCTGGAAATCTGAGCACCTCATTATCCAATTATAGGGAATACAAAATTGGGAGGCATGTTAAATGACAATTTATACGTAAAGATGGTATGTAGTTTATGTATATGTAGTTCACTAGATAAGGATGATAATTAGGAGCTAATGAGATCACCAATAACATTTCACAGTTATCATTTTGATAAAACTGAAGACCATAATATTGGGATTATACTGGTCTTTATCCTACCTCAGGGGCCCCTACTAGCTATGGATTTTCCAGCTCTTTACAGTTTCTGAAGTGAAGGGCAATCAGCCAGCTTCCACCCCTCACCTCAGAGTTAACTATAGTTCAGTATATGTTCTTTTGCACAAGCCAGTGAGTGTATGTAACCTCCTTGATCTTCATGGGTTCTCCTGCCAGGAGGACATATATCCAACTATCAAGAGACTGTTAAGTTAAGGGACAGGAAGCACTGGTGCCCTAAGTTCTTTTGGAACTAGTTGTGGTCAGAGAATGCAATTTCAAAATTTCCTGTCTTACAGGTGTTGCAACTCTATGAGGTGGTTAGGTGAAAGGTATGATCATGCTGGTGTATGACTAAAGTGGGATGAAGTAGGAGATTGAAGGCAGGGATGTGCTGGAGGCAGCTCACATGGGGGCTCTCAAGAATTGATTGTTAAATTTTCAAGTGTGAACATTTATACCTTGAAAATTGGTAAATGCTACAAATAAAGGTTTGAGTTATTGTTTTGTTGTTTGTCTAGGCTTAAGAAAGCGATGGATAAAATGTTAATAATCAGGATTAATCTTAAAGGTGTCATGTGTAATTTTTCCTTTGCATTCCAATTGTTAACAACATTTACCAGCACATCCCTAGTTGTAGGAGTTGAAAAGGGCAAAGAAAACCTTTTCAAGTTTTGGCCAAATTGTTAGAGGAGCCATCAGCAGCAATAATGAAGTTGAGAATGATGGCAGAGGACTGTCTGAAGTACTTTCAGTACCTGACTGTGATCCATGTACTAGTCTTTGAGTGGGTTCTGAAGGCTTTCCTTAAAGAGGTTTCCAGACTTGTCCTGAGCAATGTCAATATCAATAAAATCAGTCTCTAGCCTCCCGAATATGTGTATTCACACACATCTGTACATGTAAATTTCATACGTACATACATACTATTTACATATTCACATGAATGAAAGAGCAAATGTCCTAGTCATATGTCAAGAATGAATTATAATAGATAGGCAGCCAAAATATTTCAGTGGTACTCTCATTTTTTCAGGAGAAAGTAAAGAAAGCCTCCAGAATTTTGAGGGAGCCTCAGTGGTAAACATTTTGGAGGACAAAGAAAAAAGTTGCTTGGAATGGGGGGGCATAGTTGGGTTGTGATCTGCATTACTGGGAGGTGAAAAGCATTCTGGCATATTTTTTTTAATCCCTTTATAATCACATTAGTTTACATTCATAATTTGTATGTATATCATCAGCCCAATTATCTGTGTTGATAATCAGGAGCAGTGTTATGGATAATCAAGTTATCTTCAAAATCATGGTTTGTTTAAGTATTAAGCTTGGAGTGCATTCCTTGGATGCATAGCATCTGCTCGGGGGAGAGGAGAGGTAGTGTTAATGCAAGGGAGGCTCGGAAGTTTGCTGGCTATCACTAAAAAGTTGTTACTCAAAATTTGAAGTACCTAGAGGACAACTCACTTTTAACTCTGTGTGTGTGTGTGTGTGTGTGTGTGTGTGTGTGTGTGTGTGTATTTATGTACTCACCTACAAATTCAAGTACCTGCACTTGGCATGGGTAGCAGGGAGGTAGAAGTGGGATTTCCTAGAATGAATTGAGTAACCAGCTCTAATGGGTGGAGCTTAATTGACTAAGTCTCTGACTGGCTACAGAGGATCAGGTACACAGTTGAGAGAACAGTTGGGAGAATGTTTGAATTGTGAGGCATATTTGCACCTGAAACTAAAAATGAATGTTGTGTTTCTAAAGATTCCAAAGGTTTTCCTAAAAATATAACCAACAACAGGGGGAAAAAAAGATATCCAGACTCCAAGGATCTCACCATGGTGCTGAAAACCTATGATACCAGCTTTCTGGACTTCCTGAAAAAGTGCTTGATGTGAGTTGCTCAGGGCATCTTTCCCTTGGCTCTTCCTCATTATTTTTGTCATCATTGCCCTCCTTCATAGCTGGGCAAAGTGAGGGCTAGGAAATATGTATCTCATCCTGATTTTCCCTGGCGGTAGGGTTCAAATCAAGCCCCTTCTGCTTCAATCAGATGACTGTGTAGAATTTAAAGTGAGGTTTGTCAATGCACATTAGCCTACTCATCAGGGGCAACAGAGTTTTAGGTTACTTTGTTAGTTGCGCTGCTTCCTTCCTCCTTACCCTATGTGTTTTCGAGGGTAAGGATTGACTCATGGATTTGGTGCTTCATAGCTATTGGAAAGGCCATTGTAATTGTTTGTATATGACAGGGACCAAGTGTCTTATTCTGAATCTTAGAAATGAGGATCTGCCTAGTTCACTAGGCATAGTGAAATGACAAATTCCCTTGTCTTATTTTCACTGAGACATGAAAACAGACTCAGAAGAGAGCAGCAGCAGGTGCAGTAGCCACAGGTCACATTCTTTAATGTTTTGAACCTTACAAAGTACTTCCCTTAAAATATCCTTGTGGAGGATGATAAAGTATTATTGCCCCTGTCTTACATGAGATTGAGTAAAATTCAGTGACTGGCGTACAATCATACAACTGTTAGAGATGGGATTTAAACTTCAGGTCACCTGGCTCAGAGTCTAGTTCACTTTTTATTTTTCTTCTGGACCTTTGACTTCATTGGGATGAACTCCCAGTGAAGAAACTCCCTTTGCTGAAAGAGATTAGCAACTCACCTGGCAATTATAATCTTAGAGTTGCTTGGCAGAGCTAGTGTGTGTCAGAACCCATCAGCTCTTCCTGGCTCAAAACCCAGCTCTCTATCCACAATACCACTCTGCCTCTCTTCATTTTTTTATTATATCATGTGATTTTCATGCCATCCCTCTTGCCAGTAAGTTCATCTACTTATTGAACTGTGACTTGAATGTCTGAGATCTCTTACTGGCTTAATCATGGACTAGACAAAAAATTATGTAGTTTCCCCATCTATATAGCTTATCTTCCCTAAGTATAGAATAAAGAGGTAGCCCTGCTTCCTACTTTCCTCTTGGGGAAGCTGTATTGAGCTTGCTACAGTCTTCACTGGAGGTCTGACAACTTTTACAAGCAAATGCTTTCACCTTGGAGCCTCACTTTCCTCATCTGTAACATGAGGGGTTTGGATTAGAAGAGCTCCAAGAACCTTCTTGATTAGATGACAGCTAGAGTTACTAAGGTAACTCTAGAAGATCTCTAGAGGTCTTCTAAGAACTCTAAGATCAAAGAGCTGAGAATTTAGAAATAGACAATCACAAAAATGTTATGAAATCCATTAACTAAAGTTCATGCAACTTATTTATATCAGAGACCCTTCAACCTCTATTTGCTCTTAATTTATTTTAAAAATAAACTTTTAAACCTGGTTTTCTAGACCAAACTTATCAGAAGTATCAAGTAGAAGTTGATTAAAGGGAGGTTCAAGAGCAGAGTTTCTTAACCTGGGTCTGTGAACTTGTTTTGTTTTTTTTTTAAATTTTGATAATTATATTTCAATAGAATTAGTTTCCTTTGTAATAGTATGTATTTTATTTAAATAGTATAATTTATGATAAAATTTAATATTTTATTTTAAAATATCCTTCTAAGAAGGGACTAAAATGATAATAGTCTGGAGTCAATTAGCCTAGGAGCCTCTGAAGGCATTCCTGCATTATAGCCATACTGCAGTAACTGATAAAAATTCATAAAGATGAGTTTGAACCATTAATCAAAGATTATATAATCTCTTAAAGGAGGTGGGGGAAAATATATTCTGCTTTGGTTAAGTTGGTAAAGTTGAAAATTTTTGACAAAAGGGGAAATTTTCAGTTATCTAGAAAATTTACATTGGGAGAATACCTCATTCCCTTACAAATCCAGATAAGTGATGCATTACTATACACAATTCAGTACTAAACTTAGTGTAGAAAACTTACTGTCCTGGGTTATTAGCACTTGAGAAATATTACCAGTTATTATTGAATTTGGAGCTCAGCTCAGTGAATTGACTCCATGCTCTTAGCTTGGGTCAAATTGTACTTTTATAACTTCAGGGTTTCCCAAAATTTTAGTGTAGTTTTAAGCTTTAACAGCTTTTAGAACACTCAGCATAGTCAATTAGATTGATATCACCTGGTTGATGCAATATGACTAATTTTTATAGAGGGCAACAAAGAAATGAAAAAAGTGATTGAATGAAATTAGGCCCTTGTTATTGCATGCAGGGGCAGCAGCTGAAGGTGGTACAGTAGATAGAGCACTGGGCCTGCAGTCAGGAAGATGTGAGTTCAAATATGGCCTCAGACACTTACTATCTGTGTGACCCTAGGCAAGTCACTGTTTGCCTCACTTTCCTCATCTATAAAAATGAGCCAGAGGAGAAAATGGCAAATCACTCAAGTATCCGCCAAGAAAACCACAAATGGAGTCACAAAGATTCAGACATAACTGAATAACAAATATTGGATATAATCCTAATGCCAATATACTTCCTTCCCTATAGCCCATCCTTCCCCCAGAAATTGCTTATTCATTTACTGTCTCAAAACTTTTCACTTTTAGACACTTCATAGAAGAGCTAGATTTTGTGTACACAGCTTTCGGAGAAACAGTAAAGCTGATTGATCGTTTCTATATATTATTATTAATATGTATTATTTCTCAAGATAGAGAGCTGTAATTTAAGAATTTATTCTAATCCTCTCTGGTGCTTAATGGATGAAATCTTTTAGATTGATTGTATGGGCTCTCATGGGTAGAGATATTCTTTACCATTTCTTTTAAATAACATATAGAGAAACCTTTAAGAACCCCATACAACTGAGATTCATCTTTTTCTTAAAAAGTTTCATAAATATTTGGTCTATGTAACTAGAAGTTATTGTGATATTGGTCTAAGTCTAGAATCCACTTTCCTTCCATCCCCACAAACATATGATTTATGTAAAACTTGAATTTTACATAATTCTATGATATTTTTCAGTACACATGCGTGTCTACACATTGACTCATGAGAATGGTTTATATTCAGCGTGGCCTTATAGTCTAACAGACATGGTAATCTCCATTTTATAATGATACTTTTGATTTTGAACCTGTCTTATATTAGAAGTATTTTTATGTAGACTATTTTTTAAAAAAGCATTTTAGTGAAAAAAAATCCAATGAAAAATAATTAATTCTTCTTGGGGTTATGCTGGCTTCTAGATGGGACCCTGCACTTCGAATGACTCCTGACCAGGCTCTCAAGCATGTCTGGATTGAGGAGTCAAGGAATCTTAAAGGACGGTCCAAAAACCAGAACATGAGGAAAGCCAGCCTCTGCTTCCTTGCAGAAAAGAAGGAGAAAGCCCAGCCGCAAGTCTGCTTGGGAAAGACAGGTATAATCCTGCAACTTCCTAGTTCTTTAGTCTAGGAGTCCAGAGAGTTGGGCACCTATGAAGGTCTTTGCATAGAGAGTTCTCTAGATTAAGTCTTTGGCTAATAAGTTCACTGAGTTCCACTTCAATAGTGCCAGCCCTTTGCTATTGTCTCTCTAGTCTGTTGGTCATTCCTGTTCTGTTGCTGTCACCCTCCCACTCCTAATAGCTCCCATGTTTTCTATTTCTGTACCCTTTCCCCTTCAGCAATTTCTTTTTGTGTGTGTGTGTGTGTGATTCACACCCATCCATCCATATTCAACTGTTTAAATTCTTGTTGAATGGAAGCAGCCTGAGGTCAGCTGAGAGATCTGTATTATACTCCCAGCAGTCACTTGTAGTGGCTCTGGCAAATCAGCTAATCTATTCCTGCCTAAGATTCCTTCTAGCTTCATTTATCATTTACCTTACAGGGTAATTAAACAGTTTTTTAAAAAATATTTTTTATTTTTAGTTCCAAATTCTCTCCCTCTCTCCATCCCCTCTCCCATCCATTGAAAAGACAAGAAATATGATATTTATTATACATATGAAGCCATACAAAACATATTTATACACTAGCCATATTATTTAAAAAAGCAATAAAGTAAAAAAAAAAGCTTCAATCTACATTCAAGAGTTCTCTCTCCAGAGATGGATAGTATTTTTTATCATGAGTCCTTTGGAATTGTTGTGGGGTAGCAAAGTCTTTCACGATTGATTGTTATAATATTGCTGTTACTGTGCACAATGTTCTCTTAGTTCTGCTCACTTCAATTTGCATCAGCTCATATAAATCTTCCCAGGTTTTTCTGAAGCCAGTGCTCTTCATCATTTCTTACAACACAATAGTATTTCATCACAATCTTATACCACAACTTATTCACCATTCCCTGGTTGATGGGCATGCCCCTCAGTTTCCCATTCTTTACTACTACAAAAAAGAGCTGCTGTGCTATTAATTCTTTCATACATATACGTCCTTTTCATTTTTCTTTGATCTCTTTGGGATACAGACCTAGTAGTGGTGTTGCTAGGTCAAAGGGTACACAGTTTTACAGCCCTTTGGGCATAGTTCCAAATTGTTCTCCAGAATGGTTGGATCAGTTCACAACTCCACCAACAGTTCATTAGTGTCCTTATTTTTCCATATCCCCCTCCAGTATTTGTCATTTTCCTTTTCTGTCATGTTAAGCAGCTTGATAGGTGTGAGGTGGTACTTCTGAGTTATTTTAATTTTCATTTCTCTAAGTATTAGTGATTTAGACCATTTTTTTCATATGACTATTGATAGCTTTGATTTCTTCTCCGGGAAACTGCCTCTCAGGATTATTTTAAAGAAAGCTTTAGGGACTGATTAGAACTGTGATTTCATTGGTATAGGGAACTGTTGGATAAGGAAACTCTTCCTACCAGTGGAGGGAGAGGAGAAACTGCTTTGTAAATTATAAAGTACTATAACCTTATGAAAATGAGTTGCTGCTATCACTTTTAAAGGTTAAAAATTATAATGAAAATAGACATAAGGTGCTATTTAATCTTATTTTATTTTAAAATTCAAATGAATCTATATTGACTGGATTTTTATTGATACCAAAATCTCTTAGTGATATGATTAATGTCTAGAATGAGTGTGGAGAAAGTTGTATTGGTTTTTTGTTTTTGTTTTTTTTTGTATGGAGGGCCCCTGTCAAAAATCCATCAAGGACCATGTAAGTATACAGCCATTTCATTTAAATTTTTTTCTTTTAGAATGAGAGAAATAGAAAGTGTTTTGCCTATCATGCAAAACGTGGAGCTTTTCAGTTAAGACAACAAATTATTTTAAAATATTTTCTGTCTTAAATATAACCAGTAAAAAGAGACAGAGGAAGGAGGGATATATAGAAGGGAAATGGATAGGTGTAGGAAGAGAAAAAGGTAGGCAAAGTGAGTAACATAGAGGGGAAAAGAGAGATGTACACATAATAAAAGGGAACTCAGTCACAGAGAAACATAGATACAGAGAAGACCCATCCTTATCAAATAACCTTGTAGGCTATTACTGCTAAGAACTCTTAAAGCTTTGGGGGTTTTGTTTGTTTGTTTTGCAAGGCAATTGGGGTTAAGTGACTTGCCCAGGGTCATACAACTAGTAAGTATCAAGTGTCTGGTCTGAGACTGAATTTGAACTCAGGTCCTCTTGACTCCAGGGCTGGTGCTCTATCCACTGCACCACCTAGCTGCTCCTCTTTGTTGCATTTTTGAAAGCACAGAGCACAGATATAGCTAAGCTTTTTGGTACTTGTTCTAAGAGGTAGAAGAAATTTGATTCTTAGGTTGTTTCCCCATCCCTGATCTAGAAGTTGAATTGTCATCGCAGAATGATTACACTATTGTTAGCTGTTATTATCATCTCCACCATGATTTTCCCAGGGACACACCATCAGGTATGTGAGTAAGGGCATACTCATATATCAACACTTTTTAATTCATTTACCTTTTATCTTTCTCTCAGCAGAAAAGGCCTCCGGGACAGAGAACATGTACACAACCAAAGATGAGGCTGCTGAGAATAACCAACATTCTGGTGACCAGCAGGTCTCCACCCAACCTTTGGGTGAAGGCAGAATGGAAGTCGCAGGGCTAACCAGTGTGTGCTTGCCGCCTTTAACAGAAGCCACAGGAGGCACTGAGGAATCAAAGGCATGTATAGACTCCGAGGGAGAACATAACAAAGAGATCTCTCCCAAGAACCCTACATCTTTCTTACCTCCCATTATATGACCTTCACTGGGGATGGATTCTGTTCCTTTCCACCAGTGATTTATATTAGAGACAATTCTTATATTGTACAATATTTCAGATTGTTGTTTTTAATTTATATAGGTTCATTAAAAAATGTCCACTCACACAGCCAGCTGGCATAATTCCTCTTGCTGGGGGTGTGATTCCCCTCCCCCATAAATACACACAGACACACACACACAGACACACACACAGACACACACACGCACACGCACACATACACACACGTACACAACCAGAGAAGGACTTGTGGCTAGGTATTTTTCAACTTGTGTCAGGATTATTTTCCTTAGACTCTATCTCAATCATTTTTAGCACAACTAAAGTTATTTCTTAAAAGTGGGGAGAGAACACTGTGTTTGGAATACTTTGACGTATTTAGATCTGGTTCTAGACATGCAGTTTGATAATATTCAACATTAGGGATTGATTAATCACTGAGATTTTTTTGGTCTTTCATCCTTACTGTATTATCCTATAATAGACATGGCCTGTGTTCATATCCTCCATGCCTTTTTTGAAAAAAAAAATTAACTCCACTTTAATTGATACTTTTTATTTTTTAAAATTTTTTAAAATTAATTTATTTTGATTTATCAAAAATCATTTTCACAAGCTTTTGAGTTTTAAATTTTTTCCCCCTCCCTCCCCACTTCCCTTCTCAAGACGGTGTGCAGTCTGCTATAGGCTATTCCTATTAAACACATTTTCACATTAGTGATGTTGTAAGGAAGAATTAGAACCAATAGGAGGACCACCAGAAAGAGGAAACAGAACACAACAGAAGAAAAAAAAAAGCAAATAGTATGCTTCAATCTGCATGCAAACTCCATAGTTCTTTCTTTGGATGTGGATAGCCTTTTCCATCATGAGGCCTTCTAGATCCTTGTTTTGCTGAGAAGGGTTAAGTCTATCAATATTAGTCATCGCACAATGTGGCTGATACTGTGTACAATGTTCTCCTGGTTCTGCTCACTTCATTCAGCATCAGACCATACAAGTCTTTCCAGGCTTTTCTGAAGTCAGCCTGTTCATCATTTTTTATAGTACAATAGTATTCCATTACATTCATATACCACAACTTGTTCAGCCATTCCCCAATTGATGGGCATTCTCTCAATTTCTAATTCTTTGCCACCACAAAAAGAGCTGCTATAAATATTTCTGTACATGGGGGCCCTTTTCCCATTTGTATGAACTCTTTGGGATACAGCCCTAGAAGTGCATAGCCTTTGACCCAGCACATTTTTATAGCCCTTTGGTTATAGTCCCAAATTAATCTCCAACATGGTTGGATCATTTCAGAACTCCACCAACAATGCATTAGTGTTCCAATTTCCCCACATCTTCTCCAACATTTATCATTGTCCTGTTTTGTCATGTTGGCCAATGTGATAGGTGTGATGTGGTACCTCAGAGTTGTTTTCATTTGCATTTCTCTAATCAATAGTGATTTAGAGACTTTTTTCATATGATTATAGATGGCTTTAATTTCTTCATCTGAGAACTGTCTGTTCATATCTTTTGACTATTTATCAGTTAGGGAATGACTTGTATTCTTATAAATTTGGCTTAATTCTCTATATATTTTAGAAATGAGGCCCTTATCAGAGAGACTAGTTGTAAAAATTCTTTCCCAATTTTCTATTTTCCTTTTAATCTTGGTTGTATTGGCTTTGTTTGTGCAAAAACTTTTCAATTTAATGTAATCAGAGTTATCCATTTTGTATTTCATAATGTTCTCCATCTCCTGTTTGAGCATAAATTCTTCTGTTCTCCATAGATCTGATAGGTAAACTATTCCTTGCTCTCCTAGTTTGCTTACAGTATCAGCCTTTATATCTAAATCATGAACCCATTTTGACTTTATTTTGGTAGATGGTGTGAGATTTTCATCTAAGCCTAATTTCTGACATACTCTTTCCCAGTTTTCCCAGTAGTTTTTGTCAAAGAGTAAGTTCTTATCCCAGAAGCTGGGGTCTTTGGTTTTATCAAATAATAGATTACTATAGTCATTGACTACTGTGTCTTACATACTTAACTTATTCCACTGATCTGATACATTTTATTTTCACATGATATTCATTATAAAAAATCCCCCCAAACCAACCCAGCAAATAATTTGTTGTGACAAAGATTAAGAACAGTTCAGCAAAACTAACCAATATATTACCTATATCTGACAGTATGTACAACATTCCATATCCATACTTTCCACCTTTACAAAAAAAGGAAGCAGCCACATTTTCCTCAATGCTCTCCTTAGAATCTGTTAAGAAAAATAATATTTATATAGTGCTTTAAAATTTGCAAAGGACTTTGCGCACACTCTCTCATAATGAGTTATGTGCTATAGGTATTATTCCCATGATGAGGAAATTGAGGTTTAGAGCAATTAAATGACTTGCCCATGGTCACCCAGCTAGTATCAGAGGTGAGATGTGAACCCTATGTCTTCCTGACAAGTCTTAGTACTCTATCCACTATTATCAGCTGCTTTTCAATAAAAAGAGCATAAAATATAGCTAGGTGTAGTAACTCTACTAATATATAAGCAGTTCCATTTTTCATGTAATTTGGCGCATGTCATATTCAGCATATTCTGAGACTGTGGCTCAGGAGAGTGACTGGAGTTGGACATATCGATCTGGGGATAATCTATGTAGAGATAATATTTGAACCCATGGGACACATTGATGGATCAGTGTCTTTAGATCCAGTCGTGAAATCATTTCAGAATTCACCTTTACTACACTATCATACCTAGCTTACTCGTCACACTTGATGAGAAGAAAAGAGGTTCCAGGATAGATCCATGGGGGACACCCACAGTTAGTAGGCATGACCTGAACCAGCAAAAGAGACTAAAAAAGAGTGGCCAGTCAGGTTGGAGGAGAATCAGAAGAGAGCAGTGTCACAAAAACCTGAAGAGGCAAGGCTTCTAAAAGGAAGTATTCAAAATCCATAGGTGTGAACCTTTCATCTCTTTTATTTTTAAATCCCAAACTTCATCTTCCAACACATTTCTCACTTTCCTCCCTTTTGTCCATCTTCATACTGATGTCATGGAGTATGAATGGGAATGTTGACTTGGCATTGATGATCTTATCTAGATCTGATGATCTCCTAGCGATTCTCCACCTCTTCAGCCTTTGCAACAGATGTTGGTATATAAACTATGCTTACCTCCATGGTGGACCCAATGTCTTCCTGACAAGTCCTAGTACTCTATTCACTATTACTGGCTGCCTTTCAATAAAATGGGGGGAAAACATAGCTGAGTATAGTAACCCATCATCTTCAACTACATATGAAGTCGGTGGCAAGATTTCCTCTTCACAAAGAACAGGTAGGACAGGAGGAAATGGTCTTAACACTGTAGTAGGAAGAAATTCCTCACTATTAAGAGTTATACAGATGGCTAAATGTGTTGCTGAGAAGTTGTGGTATCTCCTTTAAGGGAGATATTTAAGAAAAGGGCAGGATAGCAACCTATCTGGACTGGTTTGAAGGCAGGGGGATAGAGGGATTGATTCTTTTAGTTCCTTCCTAGCCTGAATATGTTTAATACCTTGGCCAGAATTGTTTTTCAAAACTGAGACGTCTACCTTTGTCATCCCAGCAGCTTCCCAATAAAACCAAACATTGTGAGCCCTTTAAATGTAATGTGTTTATTTTGCGTCCATGCTCGTTTGGATAGGAAAATCTGCAAAATTCAGTGACCAGCATAAGATGTCATGTGTTTCACGTGAGTGGTATGGAGACTGTCAGGGCTCTGTGACAGTGGGTAGGCAGGCAGGCGGGGGAAATAGGTGAAGATGGGGAGGATACACGGAGTGGGATTGGGGGGATATGTCCAGCCTCCAGCCCCGCTGCTGGGAAGGGGGACACAGAGGGCCTGCACTGCTCACAGGTTCGCCATCAGCCAGTCCAGCAGCTGCAACCGAGTGACATTCCCTACTGCCTCATCCAGCTGCCTCTGTTTCTCATAGCGCAGCACTGATTGTAGGACCTCCCCGACACTTCGACCTTTGTCCACGGCAGCAGCAGAAAGCTGGAGGAGCTGGGGATAAAAAAGTCAGAGTAATAAGACGAGGTCAGATGGTCATTAATCTATAGGGCTGGAAAGAGACCTCTGGGGATTCACAACCAAGAGCAACAAAATGAAATAAAATAAAATGGGGCTTTGGGGCAATTTACAACAGGAAGAATTCAGGCTAGAACTCAAGAACTGCATTTGCTAGGGCTATTAGAGAGGTTGGTAGAGGTATTTTCCTGGAGGTCTTTCAAAGAGTCGAATGACACTGACCATTTGTCTGGGAATAAGAAAATGGTTCTCTAATGGATTTTATCTTTCCTCAGGGCAGGAATTGAAATTATTTCCTGCAAGATGGTGTTGCTTATTCTCCAAGTTTTCCCAATCATCCATCTAATGGTCAATTTTTACTAGTTTTTAAAACTTGAATTGCCAAAAGTCCTTCTTAAAGCCTCCACAAACTTTAAAAAGCTGGCACCTCTGTGTCCTTCCTGTATCCTATTTAACTCTTTTCCTTGTTCCTTCTTTTAATTCAATTAAATTCAAGAAGCATTTTTCATGTGGCAGGCCCTATGCTCAGTGCTGCAGTTACAATAATAAAAAGTGAAACGGTCCTTGTCCTCAAAAGAGACTCCTTTTTTCTTTTTCCCTCTTTCCCTTTCACCCTGTGGTCCTGGACAAAGGCCTAGTGCTGAGACCAGAGGGCACAGCAGCGCACAAGAAAGAAGACATTTACTAATTTGTAGCAGAGTTTGTATTGAGAATCAGTGGTCCAGGTTGCAGAAACTCTAGAAGTTTCTAGGGTTCTGAACTCATTATCAAGTCAAAAACATTACCATCGCTGTATTTATTCACCTGCCTGAGCTATTTGGAGGCAGGGCAGGGACATACCCATTGGACAAAAAGCTCTCTCCCACCCCTAACCCCCCCATCCTTGTATAAAAGAATGAATAATGATTATAATTTCAGCAACAGCAACAATAATGATGTTTATTTGGATTAGCAGGATTACCCAAACTAACTCACCCCCCCAAACCTCAGTGGCTAAATTAACACCCTCCCTGCCCCCAATCATTCTGCCCTCTGCTTTTAGTATTGAGATAAGTGACAATTTGGTAGGATTAATTAATTAATTATTTTTTTGGGAGGGGGGAAGGGGGCCCTTTTCTTTCTCTTTTTGGTGAGGCAATCAGGGATAAGTAACTTGCCCAGGGTCACACAACTAATAAGTGTCAAGGCTGGATTGACTAATTTGTTTTTTAAAAGATCTCCCAATTAGTGGGGGGGGCGGGGCTAGTAAAAGGTTGGGGATGGATCTCTCTTATTTCCAGGTGCTCCATCATCCATACTGAGGACGTGCCTGGAGTATGTCAGAGGTTCGGTTCAGGATAAGTCTAATCACTTACACCTTGAATATCTACAGTCTAACAACAGCTTACACTGTAGGCTGCTTTACAGTGAGTGTCAAGAGTGCCTTCCTTCCTCACAACACACCTGTAAGATGCAGAGACGAGTAACTGTCATCTCCATTTTAAA